TGAACGTGCATGCAACTTGAGAACGTAGTTAGTTGCGAGAAACTTACAAAAGAAGATGTATGTGATTGAAAAGGCATGCCGATGAAAAATACAGTTGAGAGCATAGATAAAACATACTTCCGGTTGCAGTTGGAGATAAGGCAGCCGAAGCAACTAAATCCTATGAAACTTAACATGACAAATTCAGTAATTGTGAGCTACACGAATACGAAATCAATAAACAACAAAAAGATAAGCCTAAAATTCTTGCAATATAATGTCATTCTTAAAAAATACGAGAGGATGATGTCTTAAGATAAACACTTAGAAACTTTCTTTGTGCCCTTCTCATTGTCATCCACCAGTGCGTGACACGCAAAAAAGACGAAAATGTATCATACTCAAACATATCTAGTACAACATATTGAGAATTGATGGAAACAGAGGGCCATATACCGCAAGTCCAGCGTAGACACGGAAGCAGACTAATTTAAAGGCCGTGCGACGTACGCCCATTATTGAGTGTTGAAGAAAATAGTTCAATGTGTCGAAGATCGCTCATTGTTTTTTCCCGATATGCATAGTCATTAGTTGCGGTAGAATGAATTAAAAATTATATTTAAATCAATTATGTATCAATTTTGAAGTTAGAATTATTGGGTTAATTTTCTTGAGTAAATTTACATGGATTCATACAACAAACTTCAGTTCAAATCAGATCGCATGCACAATCAAGACGATTATACTTTGGCTGCTGGGTTTACCTTTCACGTCAAAAAAACACGCTTGAACGCCTGAACGTTGCACTGATATGCATGCATGGTTGCTTCAGTGCATAACCTTTGTCATAAACGTCGCAGGCACATAATATCCCTCGGATGCGAGTCATGTTATTATATGGCGCTAAACAGTACGTTAGGATAACAGTTCAAATCAATAGACGGAAAGCATTCTTTAAAGAATAAGAGTGTCTATTTCTCCTCTCAGATCCAGTATATACTGGAGCTGAAGAAGAGAGAATCAAATGTCTATATTTAATTATTAAAATCAGTGTGCTCATTAAGACCCCTGGAAATTGAACGGTATAATGTCGAAATTTCCTCCGAGAAACAAGCTCATGCGTGTCTTGAATTATTAATAACCATTGAACATTTAAATGTATTGTTGAATATGAAGTTCCTAAATGAACTTTTTTTAATAAATCGTCCGCTTTGTGCGTGTGTGTCATCTGTAACTTAGTTAATTTGTCAATTTAAGCTTTGTCAATTTTAATCGACGTATTTAATTATTTAATAGAACCCCGACGAAGGTTATATTCGGCACGTATTTCAATTAGGAATCATTTTTGGAATATTTACACGTGATATTAGATCTTGTTGGAGGTGCGTATTCGAAATAAAGTATGTTACACAGCTTGTTTACTTCATATGCAACAATATTTTTTACATTGTATATTATTTGTTCCGATACATTCCAACATCAATTCAACGGAACAAAGGCTAATTAACTAACAAGTGTTGTTCGAGGTGTACTGCTATCTAGCGTCTATATATACATGCAATTCACGAAGCTTCAAATTAACTACATTACCTTCTGCCGCGCCAAAGGTGAGATAAGCATGAATAACGTTAACAAAGCGGAGACCTTTCGCTTCCGCTCGAGAATCTCCATTGAACAGTACAAGGAAGTTAGTGAATCCAGCGAGATCTTGCATAGACTTTATTCCGTTACATGAACCCTACTGTTAAGCTGGACAAAAGGTGTCCTCTTCTCTTCCTGGACAAGGAGTGGCTTCCTCTCCGCTGCTACGCAACCCCTGCTTATGTCGACATCGCCGTGTTGTATTACCACACCTTAATTATTGATCGATGGACATCATTATGCAACGTAGTAAATAATGATTGCTTTGAAGCTGTTGCAATCTATTTGTCTCCTCACGTACACCAATATAAGATCAAACCAGGTATGGGGAAGATGAAGAATGATGATTCTTTGCCGATAATACGATAAATTAGAAATATGGCCATCTTGACCTAAACGCAAACTCTTTATTTCGGTGAAAATGAAGAAGGCACGCAAAGTTTGAGTTCCTCATATATTTAAATGGGTAAAAACATTCAAGATACAACGAGAAACGAACTAATTGAATAATTGAATGTATAGATTTAATTTTTCATTTGATAATTATTTATCATGTTCCAACAAGTACATTTTTACGCATTGATAGATTTGTGCCAACACTTTTAGTAGTTTGTGATAACTTAGGTAAAAGAAGTATTGGGAAAATTTCCCAACCTTTCATCTTCAAGCTTTACGATTTAGAAGCAGTGATGGCTCGTCTAATACCGAGCAACAGGTCTCGTTAGCAGCACTTGATTAAACTTCCAACTCTTGTTGCCAGGTTATCTTGAACTTTCATTTACACATACTCACTAGTTCCAATGCTACTCATATTCTAGGTTGCGCCATAGTTTACATAACTCCACACTTCTTCTCATAACATAACTCTTCTTCTTTACATAACTCCACTCTTCTTCCACTCTTCTTCAAACGCTCCCCGCCAAACTTGAATGTTAATTTCCCGTCAAGGATTATTAGTATGGTAATTTTTTGTGAAAAAATATTTCAATAATCGTTACTTAACCTGCCCTGTGAATCACTCTTAGACGTATGAAAACGTCTACTATAATTGGCGGTTCACTCTTTAACTATTTAATTTTACCTCTTTAATTCTAACTTAATTGCCAAAATGTTCAAGCCCATAAATGTAGTGTATCTACAGATCTAGTATATTCTGGATCTATCGTATTTTTTTTACAAATACTTTAAGTGTGGTCTCGTTTAAATACTATGTGATGTACATACTTGCCATCCCGCAGTTAAACCACGTCCTTAAAACACTTTACTCTGTATGTGCTCTTAATATCGATTAAATGAGGTAGGCTTCGTTCACGGGCTTACATTGCAACATTGAGATTACTAAATACTTGAAAAGCGTTCAATAATCAGCGTGATAGTCCATTCTTCACCTAGAATATCTTGAAAAAATCTTCAATCGGCCTCCGTCCTGCTTGCGATTCTAATTTTTGAATTGCAACTTCATATGGAACTCGGGACCCGCTAAAGACTGCATCAACAAAATCTTATTAAACTACCTCAACCAACCTCCTTTGTTTTCAATCGTTACTTTCCGTTCAGTAAATTAGATTTATTACTGAAGTTCTCCTATAGTCTCGGAAAAATTCCAGAATTTTTGTGTTTACTCCCGTAGCATAAAGTATCTGTTGAAGTATATGTTTAGCATTTCAAAAAATTGATAATTGCATTACCCACAGCCTCTAATAAACAGTCTTCCGTTCTGTGACCGTATGACTTCATATAGTAGCTCGTCGCGCAAGACAACAGAGGCTGCAGTGCGGCTTCATATTGATGATATAATAAAAAATACGATTCATCTAGATCACCGCATGCTTCAACCCTTCAACAATTAACAGGTTCTGCTTGAACAATTTGGCACTATTCTTCTATTCTTGTTAATGCTATAGAATTTTTTAGAACAAACCTCCACATATTTGCGACTGAATAAATAATGAAATAATCCGTTATAAATGTTATAAACAATCAAGCAAGCGAGTTTGAAGCCTAATAAGATCATTTACTTTGCCCCACCCCGGCACTTTATGTCTATATAGAGCGTTAATTATCTCCTATTTAGGAATGGCATTCAAAACTTCACAACCCTCATTGATTTCCTCGTTGTCGCCTAACGCGTCTCTCGACATCGTCGGCGTGCCATCGAAGGTCGGCAGCGTACGGCTCGCGCACTTAATTATAGCTACTTCCTTCGATAAATAACTGTCTAAGTTTTTTGCAACTTCTTTGAACAGAAGAAAAAACTCAGTTAAATTTTCGCCATTGAGGACTAACGTTGATGTTTTTCCTAACATTGTCATCGTTATTTAGTATGATAGCTAGGGATGTTAAATAATTTAATGTGTTGCATCAACTCTAGCGCATTAGAAATTTCTCAATGATAGCATATAATTCCTGAATGCTATTCGTAAAAAGAATCAATTATCGACTCATTTTAGGTAGGTAATTGGAATATACAAGGATTAACGATGATAACTTTATTAAAAAAATCGAAATATGTACGACAGCATTGAGAGTAATTGTTGTAAAAATTGTCAACAAAATGCGCGTTCTAATACACAATTTGAACCAAGTGCGGTTTTCCCCTGTAGGCAATTGTTTTACTATAAGTTATTCTCATACATATTCCAAAGATTTTAACAATTCTAACAAATATACATATTCTAACAATACGTATTTAAGAACAGACTTCAAATGATCGGAGGAAAAGGATTTATGAATTTTTGTTGAGGCCCCTGCACGTCTGTTTTCCTGCATGCTGAATGTTGCGAAATGCACGAATTGTTGAGGCTCTTTGTCGTGACGGGGAAATAGCGGACATATCGTCAAGACGGTAACATTTGATGTCCTGCTACAGAGACGCCTGTAATTTCCGATTAATCACGTAGAAGATTAACAGACGTATTTACACATCCGGATTGAGCTAGTCACCCATGATTCTTTTTCGTTAAAAAAAATTTAAAAAGTGGTACATGTTTACTTGTTATTGAGCTCATTCAAATTTTTGGTTAAAGGTCGAAACAATTGCCAGTCTTATGGACTTTCGTAAACTGCGTTTGCTGTGGAATTTAATTACAAAAACTATGTTACCAAATTTGTTTTCAAATCATGCCTTTTGCTAAAACAGAGAATTGATGTTCACGCTCGAACAAATACCATAACAATACGCGGATGGGAATCCCGTCCTAGCTGTAGCGGCTTCCGGTGCCGGTTTGAGGCGGTTCTAATTAGAACGGAAGCACGCACACGTGGAAGAAATAAACCTTGAACTTCTTATTTGAAGACTGCAGTAGGCCGATGTACACCTGCCTACAGGATGCACAACTGCAAGAACGACCTGCATGTACAGCCCGCAGTAATAAGCCAGGGACTGAACCTTCAGCAGCCAGTGTGCGTCGCGCTCTTGACTCCGTCAGTTTACTCAGCCAGCGTCTCGCGCGTTGTCCTGTGGTGTGGTGGTCGACCGCAAGACATAAGTGTTCGAGGATCACTCAAGCTCAGCGGTTGTTGTGTTCATGTTCCCCGGTACAATATCCAACACAACGAACTTTGTAAATTAAACTCAGCTGGAAGAAAAGCGATTGTTATTTTGATAAATTAAAGATTCCATTTAGAGATAAAGTGGATGAAACTATGCATGAACGAAAATAAATAAACTGTGTGAAGTATTGAATCTTAATATCAAGTTAGTTTATTCCGTGTAATTGACAATTTTTCTGAAATATTATCATCTAATATGGACAATCCAGCGTTCATCGGAGATAATGCAGAGCACGGCAAGGACACTCAATTTCCTCTTGGTGAGTTTGGTTTTATTAATAATAATTTGTAATATTCATCCATGAAGTCGCACATTCAGTAGGACATTTGAAACTGGAAGAATTGCAGACATTTTTTACCTTAATTGCTATTTTATTTACAAAACCAAAAATAAAATAATTTGTACATTTTCAGTATAATCTAAATTAAATTATCACAATTTTAACCTAAGCTCACAAGCATTTCCTTCTCTTAACAAAGTAAGTTGTAGAATCTGGATGTCTATCAAACTTATCATCTGAGGATAAACTCCGCTGAACCTCTTTGTACCTTGAGTACGTAAAAATTGAAGGCCAGTAAAATTCGTAGTTATTCGGCGTAACCAGAGGTCTGAAAGACTCGAAATTTCAAAATGATACTCTGACATTGTCAATTCGTGATCCAATCGAGGCCGTTCACCAAACTTTGATATGAATTACACGGGGATCGATCTATAATTATCGAATTATTGACTTGAATGCACATATATTACACTTCTAACGAACGTATACTTTGCTGATTGAGGCCCTTCCTATATCATTCCATGATCCTTAATTTTTACTTGACGTGCGATTTAAATTGACATTCTAAACTGTTGCCTTTATTTCTTCAACTATTGTTTATACTGGTTTCATTCAATGCTCGCAACTGACTCGTTTGAAGGTGTTCGAAAGTGGATGCGGTTAAAATGAGTTAGTTGTCTTAAATTATGAAGTCAAGGTCTAAAATTATCAAACAAGGAACTGCGTAGGAGCAACATCGCCGCCTGTGACATCGGCTGCCTTTACAGCAACGCGACATTAATGCTTCGAGGTCAAGTCTTGTCGACGCTCTTCGTGTCGAATGCTGTGATCGTGACTCGGTTGCCATGTAGACATTTTCATCCTAGGACTTCATGAACTAATGAATTCGTGCACGTAGAATAACACGTACTTACTGCATTATACACATTAAGAGAAATGTTTTTCGTGCATTAATGTAGCGTTACGATGCAGCTCCTTAAAATAGAATAGAAATGTCGGCACTGAAGAAATAGGCCCATATGGCCTGTTGCCGATTCTTGAATTTTTCGTGACTTGATTCACAAGGGATCCGGCCTTTGGAACCCGATCTTTCCATAACTGACGATTGATTGAGATAGCTGCTGGACTTATTGCCTGGTCCGTAATTTGCTAGGCATTTAAGACTGAACATATGCTCCTGCATAGCTTCGTCTAGTCTGTTCTTGAAGGCGTTCATACTCGGAGCGTCAACAATATCTTCAGGGAGGCTGTTCCACATGTCGGTGACTCGAAGCGAGAAGAAATGTTGTCGCATGGATGTGTTACAACGCAGTTTTTTTTAGTTTATAGCTGTGGCCCCTGGTGTTGGTTCTTGTTTCAAATTCTAGTAATCCTTCTGGAACCTTGTATAAGCCATGAGTATACTTGTATGCTTCAATGAGTTCCCAACGCAGACGTCGATAACTGAGGCTTGGAAGCTTCATAATCTTTAATCTTTCCTCATAGGACTTGCTTTTCAAGCCCGGAATTATCCTTGTTGCACGTCTTTGAACACTCTCTATTAAATTTCTGTTTCTTTTTGCTCCTTGCTTCCCAAATTAATTAGGGGCTTGAATGCCTATATAGATGGAGCTGTTTGTGAATAATATTGTTCATCAACCAATAAACTGCCGAGCGAAAGCAAGTAGAAGGTAGAGTTGTATGATTAATAAATGGTCGTATATGAAGCCGATATTATTATTGAAGAGTTACATATATACTCTGATCGGTGAGTGCAACAACTTAATGCAAGTTAGTACCTTGCGACAAGTTCTTGAAACGTGAATCGCATGGCAAATAAATGAAAAGATTCCATGAACATGGCGGGATATATCTTATTGAACTTTGACATCCATTACAATATCTGTTTTGACAGAGATTAAATGGTAACAGATATAATTTACGATTGATTTCCTTATAAGATTGTAACATAAAAACTTGGATCTTTATCCGAAAATCGTTTAGGTCTCCATCCTCAATTAATCCTTTCTGGAATATCAAGATTTCGAAAGTTTGTACTTCACCTGCCATGTGGTTGAAATCAGTTATATTAGAATTGTATTTAATGGCGATCATTAAATAATTTTGCTTAAAGCTGCACTAGTAATTTAGATAAATGTTGAATAACTGAACGGTGACGAAAGTAGAGTAATGAAAACTGCAATCTGCTCTTACATATAGATTATTCTAAACAATAATAAAATCGCCCACATGATTACTAATGTAAATTATATTTTCGGGCAGCAAAGTGATGATGAATCTATTAATTAACGCCGCACGTTTCCGTAGCATTTGAAGGCTCAGAGTTCTGCCTGCCCTGTCAACACTCAATCGACGTAAGATTGCCATAAGAGCCACCCTAAATCATGCAGTTCCCTGAAGTGCCTCGCTTTTCTTACGACTAGTTTCTAATGTCGATAGTATCACTCGCAAAAAAAAAATCGTTTCGCGATTTAAGATTAGACTCGTCAGCCCAGAATTATGCTCCAAGTTGAAGAAGTTCTATCAGAAGTTGAAAAGTAATGTCCCAGACTCTACAATGCTGGAAACGCCTCTTGTTAAAAACATTTGCTACATACCTTACGGGTTGTTTGAATAAACGGTCGGTGATAAAACAATTCCATAGAAAATTGAAAGATTACAGCGCTTTATTATTTAGAAGAGTCTCAATCTTATTCACTCGCACCAACTTTTTCAATTCCGAAAGTCATGCTCGCAGATCAATATAGCTGCAACAACTGCATTGCTGCCATGACTTTCAAATGCGTTCCTTCTAAGCAAAATACGTCTGCGCCAATTGTTCAAAACAGTTTTTAGCTGATTTGTTTTATCGATGGCATGCTAGTAGTTGAATTTTTACCTATAAACCACATAAATGTGACTGTGTTACTCTCTTAATTGTGTTTCCAAGAATTACAACTAAGTTTAGAATATCATTTATTGCTATAAAAATGAATGAAATTCTTTTGTGCAACTCCCAGCATTTCAAGCTGAAATTTCCACCATCCCTGCAGCGCATTTCTGTCGCAGAAAAAAATTCTGGATGAGGTTTTTTTCCCTCCTTGAATGACTCGGGGATTTCCAGAGCTCCCTACAGTCCCACCACACGAAGATATACTCGCGCCAACTCACTGCAACAACAACAGGAATAAACCGCCTCGCCCGTCACCGACTATCAACCCAAGAAAATAGCCGTGTTTATTGTGAAAACTTTCACCAACGATCACCAACTTAAGCGACATGCTACTAAAACATGCGAACTTATTCTTTAGCTTCATGAGAGTGACCAGAAATTTGTTTCAAACATATTTATACAACTTATTTTTGCTGTGTAGGTTGCTTGACGACCATTTGGAATTACACAGATGCATTTGGCGGAAGATTTAGATGACAGGTCAAGAAATTGTATGGTAATTTCGTTTTTTTTTAATGCCAACGATTTTTCAATTCGAATGACAATTACTCATAGTGCACAACTGTTATGGATTATGAAGTGCATTTAGAATTTCTATCCGGTATCTTAACTGACATTCTGTACGTGCCGTTCAATGAAAATCACAGAACATTACGTGTGGGTGCTGTAGTAAGTAGTATTGCAAAAAATCCATTTGTGAAATTTCCAGTCTTTGCTAAGCACGTTCATTTTCAACGCCAGGAGATGTTCGGCATCTACCAAAAATTGTTAATATAAAGCTAAATTTTTGCACTCAATCAAAATAAATGCGGCATTCATATATTTAATGTTGAGTCTTTATGACTAAATAAAAATTTTCACGATTCTGTGATTTGGCAGGAGCTAAAAATAGAAGAGACTGAGACTGCCTAGCTGAGACCTGACTGCAGGGTTAGGTTGAATTAGTTCGAAATTGAAGTCAGTGTTCGATCGTGCAGCCATGTCCTGCAGCTTCATGACGGGGCTGAAAGACACAAAAAATTAACCATTCAATTTCAACGTATAAAATGTGACAATAAATAACACGGAATCATCTCACATAACAAGATTATTTGCAATTTAGGTTAGGGTGCATATTTTTATAGTCGATATGCTTACAAAAAATTATGTTAAAGAACATTCCATTTACACCAACGAGTTCTCGTCGCCGTTGCGCCAGCTGACTTCAATAAGCTTTTCATCATGTGGATAATGCAAAATTTTATGTAACTCGTCTCGTTGCTCCTCAGGCGTGGTTCTCTTGGACGTCGAAGAAACCAACGTCAAGTCCATCGTGAGTCGGGCTGTGGAGTGCATGGTTGCGGTCGACCATGTGCCGTACGACAAGAAGAAATTCGTCATCAACTCCCTGCTGGCGGATTGCGCTCATATAAATGAAAGAGAGATTCAGATTAACAGAAGTGAAAAAGAGACCAAGTGAGTCTGCTGATGTGGAGATAACACTAATTTCAAAATAATTATTCATTCTTGGCAGTGCATTTGATAGTACAAACAAATTAAGTTATTTAACCATGCAAAACGAATTGAAACTAGCATGCACAAAACTTCCAACAATTTTCATATTATAACTGATGAATCCTGAATATCATTTATTGAATAAATAATACGCAATGGCCAATAATTTTATGTTTGATGGCCTTGATTTAATTTTTTCATTCGTTTGTCCACAGTGATGATCACGAGACTGCGGTCCCCGAACACGCAAGAAAGGCCGGCATCAACAAAATATTTTCGGTTGGTTTCTAATTTTCTTCTAAATAACTTTTCATTTAAATGCTATATGCTTAAGCACTCTATTTAGGGAGATGCGCATTACATGAATCATGACATTTATATTTAAAAAATGGCACAATGTATCAATTATTGGTTTGTGTTTATATCTGTCACGAGCTACAGGATTTTATAAACAAATTTATATTAATTAATATTTCACAGGCGCACAACATCAGGAAAGGCAAATCTGAGGACCACGATACATATAACGTAAGTAATTTAGATTTTGTGATTATCAGACTGAAGTAAAACGCGTCAAAACTCGAAGGTAATTTTATATGCACCAGGTAAATTGCTTTGCCAGAGCGTCTCTGTGATCGCCAGACGGGATAAAATCGATAGGAATCGATCTTAGCATTCAACATTCAATGATTTTGACTTCGCTTTGTCTATCGTTTGGCACGTCCAGTATGCGTGAAATCAGACAATTAATTCTGCCAATGAGAAGTGAGCTTAATTGAAGTGAGCAGCAAAATGCTGAATCTAAAATTTTGAGTAGACTGATTCACGAATTTCCACCATGTGGCTAGTCCAAGTTTGCTTTTTCCTTAAATATCGTTCACATTTTTGTCACGTTGAAGACCCGAAATAAACCAAGTAAGAATTTTGAAAAATTGTACCTACTTATTAATGTTGAAAAGTTTTCGTTTCAATAAATATTATAAATATATATTCTTCCTAAGTAAGAAATCTTTAATCCGATGCAGCTAGAAATAGTAAAAAGTCTGCAAACATTTCTAAGAAATTTTCTGAAGCGATCGACCGTTGCAGCAGAGATGGGAAGTTCCCCGTCGCCTTTAACCTATTGAAGTAACCATAAAAAAAGTCCGGGGTGCCAGAGCTGGTCTTTCAAGCTGCCACTAAGCTGGTCCTTGAAGATAAACGAGCAAAACATTTGTCTCGCATTGTGCTCTATGGGAACAGCTTACGCTCTAAAGTTACGTTGGCGATATGAAATTTATTTGCTGCATTCCCCTCTCCATAATTTTATTTCGATGTTTGCCCTAATTTTACTGTGTTATATTATGACGCAGAAAAACTGGGGACATTTTTCAATGAAGACTGAATATTTTTCATATTATCTCAGACCAGCACTTGTAAAGTCAATTTCGCAACAATTCATGGAGAAATATTAATAAATAACTTGTAGCGCGGGACAAAAAAATTAAGTGTACCATGAAAATGAAATAAACACACAACTTAATGCTCATTACAGTCAGACTCGGGTGGTGGCCGGAAGTCATCTGAAGGCTCTGAAGCAACAGCGGTGCTCGTGGGGGCCGTGGACTTCCTCAAGTCCCCCACCATCGCCTTCGTCAGGCTGGCGGAGGGCGTCGTGATGGACAACCTCGTGGATGTAAGATAAACGGGGCACTGAGTTAGCGTCCACAAGTTACATTAAGCGACTCACTCCGAGAAATTGGTAGATTTCTTGATAGCAGAATAATTGGATTTAGTGTTTTTCTTCATTACTTAATCACATTTGCATCTCACTTTTAATAAAAACATTATCCCGGCACTTAGTTGACTGAAAACTGTGCAGGTTTTTTTAATAAAAAACAAATACTGATTTTGCTAACTCAGACTTCATACTCCCAGCTTATTCTATTTGGTCATCAAGTTATCAAGCAAGACACATTTTGAATTGAAAAAAAAATCTGCCTTCGATGGTATTACCTTCCACTTCATAATGGCTCATTTTCCTTGTAGACTTTCCAACATCTGCATCACCCTCTTTGCAGGTTCCTATTCCAGTGAGATTTCTCTTCATCCTCTTGGGGCCTTACCAAGAAGAGAAACAGTTCCAAGGAGTAGGGGAGTCCATCTCGACGTTGATGGCTGACAAAAAATTTCACGAAGTTGCTTACCGCGCACAAAACCGCAAAGATCTTATTTCAGCTGTGAATGCGTGCCTATTTTCCACCAAAACTCACGAGGACAGAAACAACAAAACTGTGGACATGAAGGAACGAGGCATTAATGGTAAGACGATTATGTTGAATTTTAAATTTTAATGCTCTATTATGGATACGGATAAAAACTTATTAATTATTCATAGATCCTTGCACGCCCTTTTCATTTTGTCCTAATTCAAATAATCTTTAAATCGAGGATAATTCAGTTTATCGAACACCAGGGCAGAGGGCAGGGGCATGCAACATCGAGATATTGATAAATGTCGAACAAGTTGGTAACAAAATCAATATAACAAAGTTGTATGCTGCCGGATGTATAACAAAAATTATGGCAAAGTATTTCTTTCGTTCAATTAATTATAAATCAGGAATGTTCGCTGAGTTTGACTATCTAAAATCCTCCAGAAACCATATTACTTTTAACCTTTATTCGGTTAGAATTTATCGGATATAAAAAAGCTTATGAAGCAATCTAGTTTTACAGCAGCCGTTTCGGATACAATCTCTGTGCTGGAGTTTATTTGCGAAAAATTTTTAAGTGAATAATTTAAATTTTTTAAGCATTTTTTCGTAAAAAAAGAGACAGTAAATTTGCGAAGTAAAAGTAACCTAGGGGCTAAAAAAACACTTTCTAATTTGGACTGAAAATAACTTTCCTGTTTTGTCTGCTAGTTACAAAATTGCATCCAGCATAAACTGCTTTAAATATCCAACATTGTAATTAATTATTTAATTATTCAATTATCTATGCTTCACCACCCATCCATCTCGAATCTTCCTGTGACATATGTGATGACATCCACGTCGTAGAGACATGACCTTTTCCCTGTTCTGCATCGCCGTGATGGTCGTTCGCAATCGAGTCTCTGTATTTCAGCCCTATAAATCTACCATACGGGGCACTGTGTTTGAGACTTTAACCGGTTATTCTGGCACGACCCTAAACTGCTTCAGTGCGGCTGTCCCAACTGTGTTCGGAGCTATCCCAGCTCTAATTTCTATCATGCGTTCATGGTATAAGACTGAATATTAAATAGTTTGTAAATCAAAAGGCAGATGTCTCCTCAACTTACGTATTACTTTGCAGGTGCTGTATCGCTTGACATAGAGCCGAATATTTTGGTAAATAGGGCGGGTCTTAAAAAAGAAGTTCGAGATCCGCTCAAGAGGGTGGGCAAGCCATTCCATGGCCTCATCCAGGACCTGAAGATACGTATGCCGCTCTACCTTAGTGACCTTAAAGACGGCATCTCTGCCCAGGTCCTAGCTTCGACCATCTTCATCTTCTTTGCCAGCCTGTCACCCGCCATCACTTTTGGCGGCATGTACGGTGAGTTCTTCTGAAACAGATTCCAACGGATTGCAAAATATAGAACTTAGCCGTTCTGTCTGACAGTCTCGTTCACATCTGTTTTGCCCACCATCATCTCGAATTTCAACTGCATATGCTGCGAGACGCGGATTTTCTGCGCTGTCACTAGCTTTACAGTTAACTTTTCCACATCATTAATAACTAATTGGATCATATTACTGGAGCGCTAATAGAATTCTGGAGTGTACAGTCAATAATATAGTTAACCGTAAATAATATTTAGAATAATTTCGTGCGTCTCGCATCCCGATAGGCAATAAATCATATGCTGACAATCATTATGGCTTCCAATAGATCCCTAAACATGAATCATTTGTACGTGAAATATTATTACAGTAAAATTGACTGTCGAGAATTATATCAATTGACGTATAATTACCATTAAAAATGTTTGTAATTTCTGTTCTTTGGTGTGCAGCCGATAAAACCAACCAACAGATTGGCGTGGGAGAGACGTTGCTCGTTACGTCCATCAACGGCGTGCTGCTGGCGCTGCTGGGGTGCCAGCCTCTCAACATCATCGGTGCTACGGGACCGCTCATGGTCTTTGACCTGGCTCTGTATCAGGTAGAGTTGTTGAGAATATCAATATCTATCATTTTTGTAGGTTCCAGTTTGGGTTAATGTCTGCAATTCTTGTTACGATATCATCGGTGCAACGGGACCTCTCATGGTCTTTGACCTGGCTCTGTATCAGGTAGAGTTGTATAGAACATCAATATTTTTATTGTTGTAGGTTCCAGTTTGAGTTTAATGCCTGCAATTCATGTTACGATATCATCGGTGCTACGGGACCTCTCATGGTCTTTGACCTGGCACTTTATCAGGTAGAGTTATTTGTTGAGAACATCAATGTTTCTTATTTTTACAGATCCAATTGGAGTTGATGCTTAAATTTTGGGTTAATTAAAATCGGCTTAATTAACATTCCCTTTTTGATAGAGAATTTTATAAATATCAAGATCCATTTCTTCCTTAATTATGCTGGTCGACTTTAGATTTGATGAGACATTAAATTCGTGAGGGATCAAATCTAATTCGGTGAATCGAAATCGCAATTTCGGAAAAATAAGATCAAATTTTCAGCTTATTCATAATTTTAAGGAGACCAAGTTCGGCGTTGGGTATTCAAGGCTTCATCTTGATCAGAGCTGCTAAATTTTTTTAGTCCTAAAATCACCTTCTAAGAATGGGACCTAGCGTAATCAGAAGGCCAACAATTGCACTTGAATAGGAAATTCAAACGCCATCAAAATAATAAGTTTTTTTTTCAAAATATTCGTCTCCATATAGAACCGATGAAAGAATTCCCAATGCAAATGGTTATAAACAAAATTAAAGATACTAGAACCACGATAGATCGTATGCAACAAAGACCTACAGTAACCATCCCCGTCGCAAGAAGCAACACAGTTTCAAGATTTTCGCTCTGGTATTTTTGCGCAACAACTTTGCCTTCAAGTTCGTAGATAATTTTCATTTATTTAGTGTTTTAAATTAATTTTCTCTTGCAGTTTGCAGAATCGTTTGAGATGGAGTTCCTGCCACTGAGAGTGTGGATTGGCGTGTGGATGGTGGTGCTTGGAATAATCATCTCGCTGTTTGAGCTGGTCACCGTAGTCAAGCATCTCTCACGCTTCACTGAAGAGATCTTTTCGACGCTCGTGTGTCTCATCTTCATCTACGGCGCCTGCGAGAAGATGGTAGCGATCTTCAAAGCCCATCCTCTGAGGGATGAATATCGATACGAAGATGAAAACCGCACAGAAATGTAAGAGAATATCGTTTTCTATGCGTGAATGTAAAATGATTGCGGAATCCTTAATAAACTTTTAATTAAAATAAACTCTTCCTTATTGTAGATTTGAGATTGTCTTTGCCAACTTCCTATTAAGCGTGAAAGATTACTTACAACTTTTCTAGTATTTTGTACGAGACTCAATTGTTTTTTTTTCATTGGCAGCGTTAGCGGGATTATCGTTAACGGAGTCTTGGTGAACGGAACGAACGCGGACGGAGTGGTCGTCAAGAGTTACGTGCTGCCACAGCCCAACACCGCGCTGCTCTCTCTCATCATGATGTTCGGCACCTTCTTCATCGCCTTCAGACTCAAGTTCTTTAGAAATTCCAAGTATCTTGGACGTACTGTGAGTATTATTTTATTTAACCCATCAGTAATGATAAATAAAAAGGAAAATATATTGATAAATAGCTGAATTTTGATTATTACTGTACAGAAATTTAAATTAATTCATGTGTAAACAGTATTATGCCACTCCAATAGTTAAAGAATAATTTCTTCAGGTTCGTCGAGCATTCGGAGACTTCGGTGTCCCTATTGCTATCGCAAGTATGGTGCTCATGGATTACCTGATAGAGGACACCTACACTGACAAGCTTACGATGCCTTCCGGCCTGCAGCCGAGCAAGCCTGAACTCAGAGGCTGGTTTATCAACCCGTTCGGTCTTCAGGTCGACATACCCGTCTGGGCCATCTTCGCTTGCGCCCCTGCATCTCTGCTATTACTAACCCTCGTCTTTATCGAGACAAATATTTGCCAGTGAGTGAAAATTTTACAGATAAATATAAGAATATCGGGTGAGCAAATAAATTAGGAGATTTATTTTCTATACGAAGGAGTGACGGTCGGTGAATTTGAAAGTCATACACAATGATACAACGCATTCGCATGCAACATTTCATGATGCAACACACGTTGCATCATGAAATTTTTCGCCCCACTTAAGATGTAACCATTTTCTCGTAGATTGGCAGCTGAAATCGCTCAAAACATTATTTTACTGAATTCCATCCAATTTTCGGTAAGAGTGATGTTTCGAAACGATTTCCCTTCCTTATGCTTGACAGTAACGTTGCTACTCATTCTCTTGTCACAGTATTATCATGAGCAAGCCTGAGAGAAACTTGAAGAAAGGCAGCGGCTTCCATTGGGATCTTTTCCTGACATGCATCCTCAACCTCATCTCCGGTGAGTCATATAAATGTTGGGGTGACGTTCTTTGGAGTCATTGATAACATGATAACCATTATACATCAATGTTGGGGTGACGTTCTTTGGAGTCATCGATAACATGATAACCATTATACGTCAATGTTAGAGTGACATGTTGTTTAGCCATCGATGAGGTAGAGATATTCTAACCATTCTTGGATATCTTTCTAACATTCTTATATGGTATATAGAGATACATCAACACCGACATGAACATGAAGTATCCTGAGTCTTCCGAGATGAACACAATACATTTTTTCAAGGCTTTTGCAAGCCAGTGAAATAGTTTTTCATTCATTGCTATTCGAGTATGTAAATTCGAGTATTGCATTAATGATGAAATAAGACCTCGTCTTCACACAGAAACTTTTCCACTATTTTCCACTACTCTAAAACAAGTTCGCAGTCAAATCCACACCTAAATCTTCATTATGACTAGCGAACTTTTTTATTTTATTTTTTTAGTTTAATTAACACGTTGACTCGGATTGCTTCATCTTGTACTATTATATAATTTTTTGTACTATGATGAAACAGGGTTGCCAAATGGTCTTTTTTTTCGGACAAATTCCGCTATGTATTTTTTTTTTCAATTTCGTTGGCCGGCTAAAGTTTATGCTAGGAGTACTTCCTAACTATTTAATAAAACAATAAATGGAATTTTAACACAGGAACCTATAAATATACTAGTATATATTGAGTTATAGGCCTTTCTTGTTAGCGGACTTGGCCGTTTATAGGCCATCTGACAACCCTGAATTATGTACCACTACGTCCTAGAGAAATACATTTCGAGGTACGCACATGTACCACTTTGAAGTCAACTTGTTAATAGTAAATAGTAGTCTGACGTAACCTTGCGTTACTACAGGAGTCATGGGAGCGCCATTCATGACGGCCGCTGTAGTGCGCTGTGTGACTCATGCTGCGTCACTCACCATCGTCGACCCCAACAACCCAGCCAAGGCTATCGGAGCTCACGGTAAGCAGCGATATCGATGTGAAGGTATCGCGAAAACAAACTTATACAACTTGCAATACTCTTATATGTGGAAGTACAGGACAATTCTAATTCACAGGACAAGAGAATTTCACTCATAATCCTTCGCATGTTTTGCAATTCCTGGATATAGTTTTGTAGGAGTAGAATTAACAAAAAATTTCTGATACATCCTTAGGTGTCATTAGACTGAAATAATGCATACCATTTCAGAACAAAGACTAAGTGCATTTGCGGTATCGGTGATGGTTGGTCTTGCGATCTTATTATCGGACGTCCTCAACCTGATCCCAAATGCCGTGCTGTACGGCGTCTTCATGTACATGGGCATATCAGCCATCACCAGCATCCAGTTCTTCCAACGCTGCATCCTATTTTTCGTCCCCGTCAAGCATCATCCCAAAGACATGCCATTCGTTACGGACGTAAGTTGAAATACTGAACGAAAACCAATCTATTCTGATAATCAAAACCATAATTTAATTCAGCCTAATTCTGACGCTGAAATTCAGATGTTTTTAGTAGCTGGTTTTGTTCCGAGTTGTCTCTTCTCTAGCAAGTCTGCATGTCCATGAAATTTTGCATGAAATTGATTCATATACAAAATGATAATAAATGATATATACTATTAAACAAATGAATAATAAATGAAAACATGAAAATTATAATAAAAAAATCTATTTGATTTAGCAATAACGTGGAAATTTTTTAAGTTAAATCATCGCAAACATTGATCCTCCGTGGCGGACGGTTCACGGATCAAAAATTAAATTAAAACCAGAAACTATTAATCTGCAGATAATGTTAAAACTTGATCCTTAACGCATGTATAGTGTTTAGAAAACCTGGATCCGTTATATTGTGGTTGCGATCCTTTATCTTGTGGTTGCGATCCTTTATCTTGTGGTTGCGATCATTTATCTTGTGGTTGCGATCATTTATCTTGTGGTTGCGATCCTTTATCTTGTGGTTGTGAACCTTTATCTTGTGGTTGCGATCCTCTATCTTGTGGTTGCGATCCTTTATCTTGTGGTTGCGATTCTTTATCTTGTGGTTGCGATCATTTATCTTGTGGTTGTGATCCTTTACCTTGTGGTTGTGAACCTTTATCTTCTGGTTGCGATCATTTATCTTATGGTTGCGAACCTTTACCTTGTGGTTGTGAACCTTTATCTTCTGGTTGAGATCATTTATCTTATGGTTGTGAACCTTTATCTTGTGGTTTTGATCCTTTATCTTGTGGTTACAATCCGTTATCTTGTGATGGTAATGAACATTGAACGAACTCGTTCATTGAATAGCACGGCGCACGAATGACACTGATTTTGTTACTTCTTTTAGGTGTCCACAAAGAAGATGCATCTCTTCACGATCGTCCAGCTCTCGATGATCGCGGTGCTGTGGGTGGTTAAACAATCCCCAGCGTCCCTGTGTTTCCCCTTCATCCTCATGATCCTCGTCCCTATTCGCATGTTCCTTCTGCCCTACATCTGGACCGCTAATGAACTCTTCGCTGTGAGTATCCATAAGCAATACTTTCGGTGGTATATGATGGAATATAAAATTCATTTGGAACGATTAATATTTATTTTCAAGGAACGGCGGAAAGTTTTCGACTCGTAATATTATGATTATTTAATAAATGAGATTTTATCAAACTTATTTGCTATTATAACCTGAATTTCGTGCAAAAATGGGAAATACTACTTTCCTTTAACTATTGCGCAGGGAGAGACTATCCTTCATTAAATGTACCTATAGAGATACGGGAAAATAAAGAAAAAACAATGTCTTAAACTGGAAAGCAGGAGTTTGTAGGCGATTAATTAAATACAAACAAGGATGATCTTTTATAAATTTATGGGGTTTTATGTCTTGTGTGTTCAGTAAACATTTGAACGTGCTCACCTTACTATATTTATTCTAGTTTTTAAAATAAACTAGTTTAATTGTATTAAATTTTCTTTCCGTTTATCAAAAAATTTTAATATTGTACACTTCTAAATTTTAAAATAATTCTTGGCAAAATTTTCAAGTCATTTTAATTTTCGTTGAATTTGATTCATTTCCGTACAAATGTATCAGTTCCTTAAACTGAATGAGAAACGGCGAAATCAAACATTTAATTGCAATTCACTTCCATCAAACCAACGTAAGATTAATTAACAACGTTGAATATTTTCAACTCAGCTGGACGGCGGGGCCCCTCCCAAGACCGACGACGAGCCAGATTTCTACGAAGTTTCCCACAACATCGGCAGCTTCCGTGAGCCGCCGGCCGCCTCGGAGATTACGCCGCCTACGACGCAAAATTCTGTGCAGAGAAACTAAGTCATCAAGAGAAAAAACATAGGGCGTTTTCAGTGTTCAAATTAATCTATGTAATTTATCGAATTAGTCGCCATTGCTGCTTATTTCCGGAAATAATGAGGCGCCCATTATCAGTTAATTAATTACCCAACCATTTTCTTTGCGACAGTGATCGGTCTTCTAATCCAGAATATGACTGGAAATCAAATATCAATACCAAGTTACATCATACCTCATACTTGAGGTGCAGACAGATTAAAAATTGCCGTTTCGATGAAGACAATGAATTAGATTCGTGTGCTAAAAAGAGGGGATTAGAAGTATGAAACCTATCGTCATTGCCATGAGTACTCTTAGGGGTAGAATTCAACACAGCCATGTAATTAAGTGTATATGATTAATTGATGTAAATAGCCCTGATTATGTGTAGTTCATAATGTGTATTATTTTATATGTCTAAGCTTGTGATATTCACAACCTTTGTATAATCATTAAAGATTTAATTAGAAAATTTGTCGAATCATTTTAATAACGAATTCTCCGTTAATTGCAAGCATTTTCATCAATGATTATTGCGTTCGAATGCAATACCAACTCGACTGATTTTTATATCCCGTGCTATAAGAGAACCGCATCCAAGAGATTACCTGCTTACCAAGGTATTATCTAAATAGTGACATTGTTATTAATCTTAATCAAATGAAACTCAGAAATTTATACATCGGTTCGGGGGTAAACCATGCGCGGGCAGCTCTGCACGAGGAAATCCAAGAGAGGTTTCGCCCGCCGCTTCTAATTGATACAATTTAAATTATACTTTCCTTTGTTAGGTAAATGGAATTAATGAGGTTATTTATTAAAGAAATTGGTGAATTTAGCCAAAATCTTTGACAATTAATTTTTTAGGCTGACTTTCTGCATTACATACAGGGCCCAGTTACTTGATCCAACTGTAGTTATTTTTATTAACGAATGAGCATAAAATTTCACCAACATCAAGAAGATCAAAAATAATTTATTGTTTGGAAAACTGATGCTCCTAAACAGAAAATAACTTGCATAAATTGTAACTCCACCAGTAAGGAATTCTAAAAAGTAATACATTGCATAGTCTTCCCCAACAACAAGTATATCTATTAGCAATAGTTTCACGATTCATACTGTCTATATGTGTGCTCAAATTGGCTCCAGTTCTATTCCAACACACTTAGCATAAATGTAAAAAGTTTTCTTCTATTTCAACCTCAAATTATAGGAGGCTAGCAACTCTAATTACGAAGACTTCAATTAAATTCCTGCTGATACGTATATGTTATGATCGCAGCATTAAGGTGATATTAGGGTTAAAATACTGAACACGAGAGTAGAGTGTATAAATAATTTAGTTATCTATTGCGGTAAAGATAAGCTTGTAACACAGCTATTTCGTTGAAAATTAAATTACTTGATAATGAATAAAAAATAAAAATAATCTATTTTTCATTACCGTACCCCTTTGGTTTGGGCGGCTATGTACAATTTCCCAATTGCTTCCATGTTACAAAATATTCGAGCTTACGTCAACATCGATTGGTAAAGGTTGAAGTTCACAACTCATAGTGCAACCTAAACTACCACCACGGAATATTCATCTAACACAAACATACCCAGGTTGATAATCAAGGTTAGAACAAATAAAGACGAATCTAATGTTTATATTCGTTCATAAACAATACCGTTTTGAAGTTGTAAGAAGAAATATAAAATAGTATGTCTCAGTAATCGCTTAAGGTACGTAACATTTTCTCACAGGCCATCAACCATTTTGCAGCAAATTCTGTGTTATTTTCTCAAACTAACACACGTTTAATGGATTTTCATCAATTTTTGAATCAAACTCGAATGACACTGCGACACTGAAGTTTACTATGCGACAAAATGAAGTTTACAAGCTCATATTATTTAGTTCAAATTTTATTACTTGGGATTGAAGAGTTAATCTGATTTTGATCATATTGTTGGCAGTTGGTGTTAAATTTCATTCGCCACTCTCCTGTGATCATCCTGAAATTCCAGAGACGGCAAACGGAATTGGAATTAGAAGATTAGTTGTTCTTTAGCTGGAATTTTTTTCGCGATTTCCTTGAATATACCTTAAAAAATATAACTCAGTACTCACTGCAGTGAGTGCAAGAGAGCGCATTTTCTCGCCGACGAAAACATGAAGTCACGGACGGACAGACAGACGGACGGACAGACGGACATGGCGAGTACAATAGTGAATTATTTTCATAAATGAGAAAATGCGCTAAAAGGATCAAATACTATGTTCAAGTCCCGAATGTGCGAGTGATCAACATATTCTGGATACATGAAACGTCTTGGAGTTGTCCATTCGGTGCCATCACGACTGCGTCAAGCATTCAATTTCGTTAAAATTAAAAGAGACCTAGCAAAGTAGCTTACAGATGGAGATGGACCCAAATGAACAGAGCTCCATTACTTGATACTGTTCAACTACTTTGGCTCTAAATTCGATAAAATTTGGAAAATGAGAAAAATAAACAAACATTCGGAATTTTGTATGTCTGGAAAATTTTTAATGAACATTCCAACTAAAGAACTATAAATATATATATGTCTTCAGTTCAATTTTGATGTATTTTTTTCGAAATTGAAAAATTAGTAACAACAAAAGCAGTTACCGCGGATACGTTTACAGCCCATGGAAAAAGTGTGGTTTGGAATTGTGGAAAACCTCTGCACTATTATCAACCTATTTAAAAACAGTCATCAAACCAAAATTATAAATCATATTATAGCTAAATTATACTCGATAACATAATATAACTATTTCTTAACCCTTTCGCCGGTAATCATAGAAATATGCAAAAACTCAAGTTTTCGAAACCAGTAGGCTATCGTAAAACTTTTTTTCTGACACAATACTCCTCACACACTAAGAGACGAATAAAATTCAAATACAAATAAATGCCGTACATCCTGAATGGCGTACTAAAAAATAAATATTTGTTGTGTTAATTGATAATGTGTTAATCTTTTTATTTTTATTCGTCCATCACTGGTCATAAAGTCTTTTTTGGGGTTCTCCGCTGTCACAGACTCCTGCTCTTCTTTAAATATCGTTTTCCACTCTCAATCAAAGCCGAAGTTTCTCTGCCGGACAAACAACTGTACTGCAATTTCTTTACCCATAATGCACTCATCCTTAACTCATTCCTCCCGTACGTACGTCCATACACTCCCTGCGCCCCTTCCCTCACATCAAACAATGCATACCTCGGCAAAATCATCATACATACATTCTTCATTTATTCGTAACCATGAGTACATAGCACAGGCATATTAGAAGGGGTGGAAACAAGAATAAGGAATCATTAATGTAGCGCAATATAATTACCAATTTTTTTAAAGTTGCAAAATGAAAGCTGCAGTTAAAATTCAAATTAATAAAATAATGTTGAATTTAATTCCCATATAAATATTATCAGAATTAGATTATATAAAAATTAGTAAGGTATCCACTTCAATTGTATCTTTATTCAACTATCATAAAAAAATCAACTGGAATTTTGTGCTGGCAATAAAAACAATAAAAACCCTTTAAATAATTATGACACATTAACAACTTTTATTGTGCTTTACTTCCTACAGATCGCATTTTATACCACACTTAAAACCTCCATGGAACACGAAGAGCGATACACTTCCAGGATTAGAAAAAATATAACTCAGTATACTCACAGCAGTGAGTGACAGAGAGCGCATTTTCTCGTCGACGAAAGAGTGGTCACGGACGGACGGACGGACAGATAGACGGACAGACCGACAGACGGACAGACGGACGGACGGACTGATAGACGGACGGACTGACGAGCACAATAGCGCATTTTTTCCATGAATGAGAAAATACGCTAAAAAGTGTCACTGAAATACATCAGGACATGCACAATGTTTTCTATCGCTGTTCAATAAGCAACGTGTTGCTCGCGACTCTTACCTCCACATGAGCGCCCAGCTTGAAGGACTCGACGAAGCTGTGCAGCAGTTCCATCTGCCTCGCCACCGCCGCCATGCCGGTGCCGCCGTCCGAGCTGTACTGCTCCACGCTCGACTCGAAACTCCACACGGACGACACGTCAGCCGTGAATAGTGGACTGCCAAGTCATAAATTATAAGCGAAGAGAAATATCAGAAGCACAGGTGCATAACGCGGGTCATAATCTCCACACAGACGACACGTCAGCAGTAAATAACGAACTTAAGAGTCATTAGTGAATAGCAAAGAGAAATGTCATGACGCAGATTACATATCTTCTACAAATTCTAAATGACTCTTTGGTAAATTTTAAAAGGGACACAATAACTTGGTCTATGTGCCACAAAATACCTGCATCATTTGATAAATATTGCTTAAAAAAATCATCGGTCGAATGTTAACTAGCTAGAAATCACAAAAAGTTTTACTTTTTGCGTGTCAGTTACTTGGTAAAATATCAGATGTCTGATATATCAGATATGAGGACAATTATTTCACGAACAAATTTCTCTTCAATGTAACAATATTTTTTTCTCAAATGAATAAAACAGGAATAGTAAGTTAAACTTTTTAAGAAACATCATTTCTTGCTCACCAATGAAATTTGAACTTCTACAATAAACTGATATTTCTGATGAACTTCTTTCACAATAATTGAATGAGAATGAAATGTATCTAGGCTCAAATTTGTTTAAAAAATATCAATAAAGACAGCTATGAGAGTTATGGAAAACATAAATTCAACACATATGCAGCGACAACATATCCGACATGTCAAACGTTGAGTCAACAAACCTTATACTCCTGAGCTCGTCTAAAGACAAACTCGAGAAAGGCTTCTGCAGCTCTTCGGCGAGCTTGACGACTTCTCCGGCCTTGCCGTGCGCGGTACGAAAAGCCATCTGCCACAGGAAATATTTTACACTCAAATATACTTCCACGAACGCGTGTCCACCCACATTATACAAGAAATATTCTGCACTAAACTCTATTCTGCACGAACCCGTCATCCGAGACCGCGTTTTATGGAGTACTACTTCTTATCGAACAAGTGGTTACATTTAAGTATTTCATGATTTCGTTAGAGCCCCGATTAAGCAATTCAAAGTTATTATAGCAGATTCGCTGTAAGACAAACATTCTTTAACTTACAATTCAGCTAGTATCTAATATCAAAATCTAATTCAGCTAGTATCTAATACCACATGCGCTTAATTGTCCAGCTGTACCTAATAATCAATTATTCTAACATAATTTATTTATAAAACATACAATTTCAATAAAATATATAATATTAAAATTATTGATTACTAATTTTACATCAAATTATTGCATGACAACGTTCACTTTTTGCACCAATTTCACACAAATCATATAGTACCATTTATAGATAAAAAGTTTTCCTTGACGAATATCAAGAAAATATGAAATTTTCCTGTTAGAATTCTGTCAAGTCCTAGTTTTTAGAAATGAGCTGATGATAATAAGTTTATTTGTAAGCTGGTACCCCTTTCCGGACGAGGTAGTAGGCGATGTCCGTAGCCAGCATGCTCTCTGACAGCGCTGCTCGACAAGCCTCTGTGTTCACCTGCGACACGAGATAAGATCTTAATAATAATAATAGCGGTTTCAGCGTTTATTAGGCCGTAGGCCTGTCGCCGATTCTTAACAGCGTAGAACATTCACAGCATTTTGAGGTCTCGAACTCGCAACACACTGCTACAATTCTGCTGTGCTTAACCGCCCGGCCTCCTCGCCGATTCTGACCAGAAACTGGCGCACAGAGCTGGTATCGAACCCGCACCTCTCTGCGCCAATCCTGGTACTCTAAACTTTAACCACTGGGCCACAAGATCTTGACCATAGGGAACATTTCGGCGTACGTCCACAGCAGATTCAAGTTTATTTTCAATAAAAAAACCTAGTTAATTTTCATATAGATCATTTCAATGATCGTTGCTATTAGTGCTATGCAAGCCTTCAAAATCAGGCAACGATTGTCAACGTTCAGCATGAGTAACAGCAGGGAAGATTATATCTTCCTGTAAAACAAAAATTATGTACTAAATCTCTTCCAAATAAATCATTTGCATCTGATTCCGCATGCTGAATTGCAAATGATAATTTATTAATTGAAAATAATAATTACAATAATCTTGAGGCATATGCTGTTGTAATATTTTAACCATCAATTAATATAAATTGTACATTCTTTTGATGCGGATTTAAAATAGCTTCCATGAATAGCAACAATATGACTACAATCAGAAGTAAAATTTTCGATCGGAATACAATGTTTGTATTTTATATAATCTAACTTCCATGCACCGTTAGAAATATGTTATTTAATCTCATATCTCACTCGAAAACTTCGTTGCGTTGTTCTTCACCTTTAGAATGACAAAAACATTTTTTAGCAGAAGAAAAAGGAAACAGTAACCAAGGAAAGTTCTATAAGTGTAATTCTAAATTGGGTCAGAAAAAATTTAAGTAAGCTGGTAAGGTAATAAACACAATAATAATTCAATATACAAATCAGTATCATCAGTTAATTTAAGAGAGAGATATTAGTATATAGAACGGTGCCTGACGCGCATAGTGGTGACGACGCCCGTGAGGACACCAAGCAAGTCGGTGAGGGTGAAGGCCACGTCAAAGAGTGCCTCCTTGTCCTCCTGCAGGTCTTTGTTGTAGGTCGACGGCAGGCCCTTCAGCACGCATAGGAATCCCGTCAGCTGAACGAGGGAAGAGGAAGGACTAATTTCAAATAAATATTTTATATCATATAAATTAGGAGCTTGCTCATCATTTTCCTCTTCAGTGGATGATTGCGTCTTCTTCATTTTTGGTTTGCAAATGATGAGATATTATAGATAATTAAATTAAAAATTGAGCGACAACTTTCTTTGTGCCGCTATATATATTATAGATAATTTTATTTCAATATAGATATTATAGATAATTAAATAAAAATTTAAGTGATAACCTTCATGGTTCTGCTATAAATATAATTGTGGTATTTATGGAGAATCGCTCTCAACTTGTCCCCCACCCGTCCTATGAAAGTCGCCGCTTTGCCACGGACGAGCTCGACGCTGTCAGGGTTCTTCTTCTGCGGCATGAGGGAGCTGCCCGTGGAGTAGGCGTCCGCAAGCTGCTCGTAGCCGAACTCGGCACTGCTGTACAGGCTGAGGTCTTCAGAGAGCCGACTTAGGTGACTGCACAGCATCGTGGCGAAGTACAGGTAGTCCGCTGACAGAGGGGAAACTCTCTTAGATGTGAAAGTTGGGTCTTTCGACACGAAAAAATAATTAGAAGAATCTCTGATAGAAAAAAAACACTGTATCAAACGAAGAAATACTTGTAGAACTTTCTGCCATATCCAAGCCCGACAGTAAAGTGAAATAAATGCAATTTTTTTTATGGTAAAATGAGTGAATATATATTGTGGAGAAATAAATATCCTGAAATCCAGAGTCCAAAAACTGTATAAAACCAGTTTCATCACCACCTATCGTAATATGCAAATGAACAAAGTCATGCACCGTAAGTTACAAATCAACAAGTTGTGTGCAACAGGAATAGAGAAGTCTAACCGACGAAGTCTCGATCTGCCACCGCCATCATGGAGTTGTGCATGACTGAGGAGAAGCCAAGGTCAGCTGCCAGAGCCTTCCTGTCGATGTTGAAGGGGTTACCCGCCAACGCCCCACAACCCAAGGGGCATTGGTCGGTGCTGGTGTAGCACTGTTCTAGGCGACGCAGGTCACCACGCAGCCACCAGGCAAAACTAGAGTACCAATATCAAGCCTAGGTTATTGCTAAATTATACTGAAAATCAACTTGTATGTGTCAGATAAATTTTAAAATCTAAAGCATCAGATAGGTAATGGAATAAATTAATATTCTTTAATACAAGTTACAAGACCTGACAGCAGTTAAAAACGGTTGGGGCAGTTGATAGACTAAATTTCATAGAAATACAAATAATTTCGAGCAATTAAAACCAAATCGTCTGAGTCACCCATGTAGTAAAAAATTTAACTAATCGTAATCACTTGAGTAGTCCCCTAAACAAGGACTAAGGTGTCACTCAGGTAAATTTTTTAATTGCACGAGACTGTCAGGACAAAAAATAATTTGGTAGAGAATTATGTGTTCGTAAAAAATTAATCGGACTTAATATGATGGACATGCATGCATCTATCTCTTGCATAATTTATTTGATTGTTAAGCCGAAAATTGATCAGAAGAAAGCAAGTAGAGAAAAGTTAACGTGAATAAAACGGCCGCATTTTCATTGAAAAAGATTCGGGGATCAATCATCACGATCATGTTTCTTATGGATGGCAGTTTTTGAGCTGATAATCTCCAAACGTTTGCTATGGAATTGAGATTTCTTTTTAACGCATTTTCTCATTTATGGAAAAAATGCACTATTGTTCTCGCCATGTCCGTCTGTCCGTCCGTGACTTCACGTTTTCGTCGACGAGAAAATGCGCTCTCTGTCACTCACTGCAGTGAGTACTGAGTTATATTTTTTGGCGTATTATTTGCTAGCAAATTTTAGGATAATCTAAAACGGATGCAATAGCGATTTATTCTGTAGAAAATATCACCTGAGCAGCCAATGAGCAAAGCGCACAGGCTGTGCACGCTGGAGGTGCGTGTAGCCCGCACACAACACATGCTTGGTGTCCTCAGCTCTGGCCAGCAGCGCCTGCACAAACAACACATCCCTTAAGGTCCCGATTGAAAGCCGAGAGGCTTCGAACATGCTCGGCTCTTCCCTAAGCGTTTCTTCACTAATTAGGATAGACTTTACTCCACTCGCAAATGAGATGGCGATATGGATTTTTCCATACTTACCCATCTATTTATTTATAAGCGTCGACCAGTAATAGAAAATATGTAGACTTTGTATTAAAAGAGTTTTAATGAGAGGAAATTTCAAGAAACTTTGAATATTATTGTTCATCATGTCTGCGATTTTTACACTTTTTTCGAGATATAAACGGGTTGTAATTTTTATTGTCAATTGAATGGTATATTCGGCATTCCTTTCAGATGCAACCTTAATCACCACCCTGTTGTTTTATTACCTGGGATTTTATCACATCATCGCCCATAGGTACATTTATCATGCTGATTGCATGTTAAACGCAACGTTCTAAAAACACATAACTTTCCCCTATCCTGCTGCTGAGCATTGCGTTTCAGCAGGAAAAAATCACATCACGAGCACTCGTTAAACAAAGCCTTCTAAGGCCACCTTGATGTACTCCTCTTACAGTGCCTTCTTCATTTCCAGCCTATGCCAGAATTTGTCACGAGTTTTATTTTCTACCCAGTCGTACATGTGTTAGGGAAATTTCCGATCCGGACTTCTGGAAAGACTACGGCGAAGAAGCAGAACGGGCTCAGTCCATATAAGGCTGAGTCGCTGCTCTCGTATAAGCTTAATTCTGTAAACTCTAACTGCGCGGTCGTGTTCTGTTCCACTACGTGCTTAATGTTACCTTAGTTTCCTAAATTCTGTAAATGAATGGTGTTAATTTGTTGTGCACAACCTTTGATTTGTTTAAATTTCAGTTTTGGGGTGCATGCGTTTTTTCACTTCTTTTGACACTTTGGCCAGCTCGTCAAATTGCCTATTTGACTTGAAACCTTAAAACTTTAAACTTTAACTATTAACCTCTAAACTTTAAACCTTGAAATTAATACCTTGACTGGCCAAGGTGGTCTTTCTCTATACTAAGGTGACCTATATTTATGCTCGGAACTGCCGCGCGTTAAATTAAATTGAATTATTAATTACTACAAATGATTTCTACGTCTGTAAGCACTACGCAGTATGTGCACTTAATCTTAATTGATTAAGGTGAGCCATAAGCTTTTATTATTAGCGTAAACTTAACTGCTTCTGATTAACTTCTGAAATATCTGAATTATTGCCATTTATTAGCTTATTGACTCTATTGTAATGATGCATTTGTTTTACCAGTATCTCGAGTAATCGTCAACATCTGCTGCCTTTCTGCCAAATTAAATTAAACCTGGACGCAGCTTTCTATAAATGGATTGAAACTACTTTGAATATGAAGAAACTGCCCCGAATAAGAAGCTTTGAATAAATTCTTATTAAAATGCCTTAATTGAAGATCACTTATTTCTATCCTGCTTAGCGCTTAACTTTTGAAATCATTTCTAGAAGAGGATTACCTCCAGCGTAGGGAAAAAACCCTACACATGTGTCTATCATTGTTGACATTATTAATCAGCTGCTGAACAAAGATATTAGATTTAAGAAGCTTTCGAATCTTGTCTTGCTTGCCTAGCACAATTATATAATGAAGTTATATATTTATAATTATAACATTCGTGTCCGCTCATTAATTGTTAAATTATAATATGAATGACTGAAATTTCTGAGGCTGCCACGGTTCAATCCTTGTCACCACCTGCCGTTGTTGGTAACGGAAGAAAAAACGGGATATAGGTCGAAAATGATTCCATTGAGGGCTGGATTATTTTTTTAACATAACAGTATTTCTTTAATGACAATTAAAATGAAATAATTCGCTTAGTGTGTTCAGATGAAGGAGCACCATCAGCAAGCGAAAACAAAAAAAGTACAAATTCCGCAGAAGCCAAAGATAACGCATGTTGTAACCGTGTAATAAATTTGTAGATTATATCTCCATGTTACTTTTTTAAGCGTGCAGTTCAATTTTGGAACCGCTGCGATGACGATTTAAAGAGCTATGGGCACAAGTTCGCTGTATGGCCGTGGGTGTTCATGATACTAGAGGCGCGGTACCATATAACCGTACTACCACTGTAAGAAATTGCCCAGCGGAGCTAGAGTATAGGAAAGAAATTGACTGTGCGTAGAGATATTTTGTCATGAAGAAGAAAAAAATCTCTATTAGAGGCATCTACATAATGGAGGTATATTAAAGGCTTCTGCTTATTAGAGGCTAATCCGTAGAAGGGAAAGTAAACTGTGCTCGAAGACACTTCGCAATGATGGAGAAAAAGTTCACTATTACAGGCAAATGAGCAGAATTAAAAGTAGACTACACTTGTAGATATTTTGCTGTGAAGGAAATGTATTACGCGGTTTGAGAAAAATGGGCAGTATGAAACGTTGACTGTGCTTAGAGATATTTCGTTGTGAAGGAGTTAGATTTCACTTATATAGGCAAATACTAAGAATCAAGGTAAAGTGAGCAGTATCGGACTCGAACTAATTTGCATACGTCTATGACTTATGTAACGGTATTTGCTTCAGGTTAGAATGTGTACCTGTTCGCAAGCAAACTTTTTAATATAAGCAATATTACATTATCCGGGAAATATTTTTGGGAAAAAGCAATCCTTAGAAAATTTTTCACGTCTAAAACTTGAAGCAATATTACGAGCGTTATCATTAAATTTAAACTGAATAACCAGACTTATTTTATGTGTATCAAAAGATTTTTCAATAAAAATGTCTCCTAAAAGCTTGCCTCAGTGTCTGCAATTAAACATTGGTACTGCCAATTATTTTAATTACTCGAGTATCGTCAACAACAGTGGAGTAGGTTGCTTTGAGGCATTACTTTGAGCCCTAGGGTAATTTACACGTTCGCTAGCCTTGTTCACTGTACAGGGTCATCATTATTTAGCGTTAAATTTTTTTTCAAAATCAATACACTCGCAAAACAGTCAAATGTGTCGTATGGAACCATGTCGACTGTTCTCCGGAAGGACCTAAAGTTGTCCCCATTCAAGCATGTCAAAAAACACCAACTGTCTGCTCTCAAGTTGTTGACAAACGCCTCCAAAGATCCAAGATTCTAATTTCCTGCATTCATGATGGCACGCTGCCAAACCTCATTTTCAGTGATGAGAAGATATTCAATGTTGAACACCACTTCAACTCCCAAAATGATCAAATTTGGTCGAAGAATGGGACGAAGGATCCTGTGTGGTGACTAGGAAGCAATGCCCGACCTCAGTGTTGGTCTGGGCAGCCGTAACAGTGTCCTCAAGGAGTCCCCTCTTTTTTGTTGACAAAGGGGTGAAATTGAATCAGAAGAACTATCGAGATGCCATCCTTATTAAGTTGTTAGTGCATTGTTGCCCTCGGCACGAAAGCACTTCTAAAAACGCCCCTGGTCGTTCCAGCAGGACTCTGCACCATCCCATGGGGCCAAATCGATTCAGGAGTGGCTGTCCGAGAATGTTCCCCACTTCATTACCAAAGATGAATGGCCCCAATCGTCAGCCGATCTGTATCCTCTGGATTTTGGGATCTGGTCATACCTTGAGGGCAAGGTATCGACCGTTCACCATAGCAGTTTGGACGCCCTAGAGGTCAAGCTGCTGAAGGAGTGGGCCATGACTTACACGTGACTCGTGTAAGGCTTTCTCTAAGCGTCTACAACTCGTTATTGATGCAGATGGTGGACATATTGAATGAAATTGTGAGAATTGTATCTCTGAACCTCTCCTTACGTAAATACATTTTCAAACATTCACAATTGTGTTTCATTTCATAGTTCTAACCACTCAAAGTTGTAACGCTAAATACTGATGACCCTCTATAATCGTCAAATAAGTCTTATAGCTCTGTCAATTGAACCCTTGACCTACGAAGTTCTTGTGGTAACCTGGCCTGTAGACTGCAATAGCATTGACTAATCATTCCATAAATTGGTTGTGTAACTTAAATATAAATTTGGCACCTCTTTGGTTGTGTATTTTTTATAAGGCAATAGTTAAAATAACATTACATTCGTGTGGAAAATTCTCTAATCCAAAATATCGTAATAAATAATCATAACTTATGCGTCCGTAGAAAAATCGATATAATTTCATAACTAGAGGCAGCTGACGTATTAGCTAAATTATTTGGAAAGTATTAATTGGAAGTAAGAGTATAATTGGAAAGTATTAATTGGAAGTAAAGAGCATAAATCTGTGGCGGGACTGGAGCTTCACTCACCTTGATGAGGTCAAGCAGCCATGTGGCCGTAGCACCGAGATGTGACCTCAGCCAGAGACGCGTGTCCGTGGCCACCTGATCGTTGCGGCTGCGCCCAGTGTGTAGCTTACCACCAACCTCGCCGATCAACTCCTGCTTAATGTAGCACATTGGTTAGTTATTCATGAATTAAGTTTGAAAACATGAATTAGATTTGTTTATGAATCTTGCTTAATGTAGGACATTGGTTAGAAAAATTATTCATGAATTAGGTTTGAGCGTAACGTTATTTATGAAAAAACAACGCATCAAAACAAAAACATCATCTAAATTGGAAGTGAAATTGATAGAATACGAGCTTTTCCGGACTAGAGTGCAGCGCACTAGAATAAACTCATTGAAAACATTGGTTTCGAACCATGAAATATTCAAAGTAGTAAATGTTAAGTAATTCTTGAACAATCAACATTATAAATATAGTGAGAATTCAGCGGGAGGTGCATCATGACATAACTTTGGTCGAGGAAAGTTTGCTTATGGTGAACAATCAGCAATAAGTTTGTAGCAGCTATTGATCTAACACGGCAACATTTCTTATGTATTCTTGCCTTGAGTCGTCTTTCGTTTGCAGTGTGTATGTCTTCATCGCTAGGGTGAACCACAAACGAGCCTGACGTCCATTCCTGAAGTACGGATTCCAATCCAACACGGATTTTAGTTGCTTCCTCCGCCGTGAGAAGTCCAGCGCGCTCAATTGCTCGACTATACGCAATGCTACCCTGCCCACGCAAAATCTCGGTAGATAATTTGTATTTTAAATTCAACATTAGGGAATCACGAGTTGAAATAAAACTGTCAGATCCGTGAACTATTATATGGTTTTACTTGTATATCTTCCTTGAACATAATCTTGTCACGCTGCAAAGAGGAATTGAAGCGTTCCATTATAGGGTCGGTAGCTCCCGTGAAGCGACCACCCCAGAGCTTCCCTTCATCGCTCTGATTTCCTCCTGAAGTGAGTAAACAATGAATGATCAGTGTTGGTGCATCATACATAAATATGAGTAAGTTTGTGAGAATTTTCGAACTTGGTTACAATTAAGAACATCGCACTCATAAAAAGCCACCTTTAGAACAAGTTGTGAGCAAACTTGTTCCAATAAAAAGATCACTCCCACAACAGGTCGCCTTCAGAAAGAGTTGTGAGCTCAATTACAATAAAAAACATCACACTCATCAATGCAGTTCCCAGAGCGAGTTATATGCAGGCCTACTTTCAAAAAAAAAATCGCACTCATGACAAGCTGTTTCCCGAGTAAGTTGCTGGCGAATCTGTTCAAGAGAAAAATTTCGAAATTAGTGCATGCTGATAGGAAGAAAAAAAGAAAATGACAAGTGCTTATCACACTCGAAACCCAAAATCAGCAAACGTTCACATATTTACTGACAATAATTGGTGGAATTTCAGTGGTTTCATTGGTTTATACGAAGTTGATTGTGCCTGACAGCTTTCCCAAAACGACATATATATATATATCTGTCTCTTATACACATCTAGATGTGTATAAGAGACAGAATATAAACAATATTAATGTTTCTCAAAGGAAATTTGTCCTCAACCNTATATAGTGTTACAATGGTAGAACTTTTTTCTTCCAAAAATTATATGTCGTGAAACTGCGGTGAATTCTTGAGTAAGTGAATAATTCATGGAACACAATTTCAAGCAATTAAAATAAAACAAATTTTAACTACGTTTGCAACTACATTGAAACATAGGCAAAGAAATTCCTTCCATCTAAAAAAATTAAAGAAATAAAAATGTATGACAAAAAATAAAAATTTCTTTCTACACACCTACAAAATCTTGTCCAAATTTCACATTGTGGAATGAATATTCATTCTGAATTCTCAAATACAAACATCGAACATTTAATGACTGGGTAGAGCCTAAACATTGGTTTACCACAGGCAGTTGAAATTGATGTTTGTTCACCTGTGCTGTTAGTAGTCATCTCGACTCTTCCGTGGTCGAAAATGATCTGGAAAACACACCATCGAGTGATTAATATAATGCTCTAAGGAAATTATCGAAACATACTATAAGAAATATAATGAAAGAAATATTATGACTACTTCAGAAAATGCGAAGCAAATTCGTTTTCCACTGTAATGTACATATAACAGCTCACAATCGTAAGATGAATATAACACAATTCACACTGCATTAAATTAATACTGGTAGAAGAATTTGTTCGAAAATATCATATTCAGCAATACAAATTTAATATTTCTGCGCACTTACCAAGGAACTTTGGTATTAGCGGAAATACGTTCAAAGATCCAGTTCTCAACCACCACCACCATGTGCACCACCAGCTGCCGCGCGCGCCTGTTGCAGCACTCGCGGACCCAGCCGCCTGGAGTCCAGGCACAGCCGCCGCCACGCGTGGCCTTCAGACTTTTTACCAGCAGCTCACTTGACGACACTGGCTGGCCGATGGCTTGCACTGCATACCAATATTTTAGCTCTGTAATCATGTTGCTGACTTTCCAATTAAATATGTAATGTTGCACTAGGTGAGGTAATACCCTCTTAAACAAAAAAAATCCTAGTGTTAATAAATTGATGTCTAAGAAACGCAATCTGGTGTATTTTGTTCAATTTAAATCGGTTCTTCATATAAACATATTTCTATTTTACAAACTTATCATTTTATATAAGATTGCGTAGATAATGACGCCGAGTATTTTATTATGATGCCATAATGATGCGTATTACTTAATGTAACATCTTTCTATTTCAACAAACAATAGCAACATAGAACAACACAATATGTCGCTGCAAGGTGAAACATCCGTTGACTATGTCTTTGATACGTTTAGCTTCATAGCATTTGTTTTAATGCAGAACAGAAACAGTCGAAATGTTCAGTAATTTTACTGTCAAAATGTGTTTGAAGTAGCTACACTACATATAGCTGCATGTTACAATGGATTTCACCCCGCCCCATACAAATATTTTTAAGCCATTTGGTCATGATGGCTTTTAACACAAAAGGAGCGAAATAAAACAAATTGAAGCTATCACAGTTTATTTTGAATGCGCTTGTTGGGATTCGGCTTGTCAAAGTCAACAGTAACATGCTAAGCTCGTGCTGCTGAGTAGCCAGCAAGTCTAATACATGTAGAGAAAAATTGAATTATGAACAGAATATCCGTCTCCTCATTTGACTTTGCTGCTACCATTCGTTTCCTGAGTTAAAAAACGTTACTAAAACCAACAATCTTACTAGAAGTAAAGTTGATTCTCTGATCAAGCTGTCTTCCCGATTATTCAGCGGGTATTAAGCGTAAACTGTACATACTAAATGGCACTTGAGAAGAATAAATATGATAAGGTTCCAACAAGCGATCACTTGTCACAGGCAAGAGTTTAACGTAAGGGAAATTAAGTCGAAAATTTTGTCTTCTAGTTAGCTTTGTAATGCTAATCAAATGTAAACTCATTTCGTGAACCTAAAGTTATAACACGAGACTGGAAACAGCGAAATTCCTGATAACTCTGGAAAAATAAAATTACTCATCAATAATTTTGACAAGGTCACGGTGTCAACAAGTCAGTAGCAGGCAGGAGCGACAGAGGCTCAGAGCCAATATATAGGAGGCAGGTTATGACATCAGCGAGATGACCGTGCACGGGACAGAGCTTCTTCGTGAAAATAAAAGCTGCTTGCTGATCGAATGTCATACAAAACACATTACCGAAATACATTCATGCTGAAGGTAGGACATGATTATGTAGTTAAGACAGTCATTTAAGAATTGGAACCTAGAGTGCAGCGAAGCATAGACTCGAAGACTATCACTCACCAACACTCGTATTTTGAATCATAAAACACTGATAGCTATAATGCTTCCGATTGTGAAATTTAATATAGGCGGAACTTACTTGGCAGGCTGAAGAGAGACAGCTGAAACGTCGTTGTTAAGCTCACTAACGATAAATGTTAGCGACTAAAAAAATACAAGCATCGACCTATGAGATTTTAAGCAGCGATATAACTTACAAAATATCAGACATTTGAGGCACAAAGGTGGAAAATAATCAAAATTGAACATCAAACAATGCAGCGAAGCTACATTTGAACTGAGCAACTCATTGTTAAATTTGAGCACCCAGGAGCCCACATGAAGCCAAGCAGGCATATAACAACTATACATATTTAGCACCGCCTGTGAAAAATCGCTACTGCATTGTGAATGCGAAGGTAAAGCAGCAAATGACGATTACGAAGCATGTCTGAGGAAAAAAATACAGAAAAAGCTTCGATTAAGCTGGCCTTTTGAATGCAAAAAAAAGAAATATGTGCGATGGAAAACATCCTGATTTGGGTAAAGTTAGTTAGTTAGTTTAGTGGCCCTATGATTACTAGCGCTTCAGCTGCTAAGCTATCTCGCGCCGAATGTCACGTTGGGCATTATGGGCTAAGAACATATTGCATCACATGTATTCAGCGTTGATCCAGAGGCAATTACTGCACAACCCAGTTGGTAATTATTGCATAACCCAGAGGCAATTACTGCACAACCAGGTTGGTAATTATTGCATAATCCAGAGGCAATTACTGCACAACCCAGTTGGTAATTATTGCATAACCCAGAGGCAATTACTGCACAACCAGGTTGGTAATTATTGCATAACCCAGGGGCGATTACTGCACAACCCAGTTGTAATTATTGCATAACCCAGCGGGGACTCAAAGAAAAAAGCGCTGCATCATTTATTGCATTGAGCATTGGGCTTCCAGTGTGTTTCTCCACTCGGGAATTTTCCCTTATTTCTTTATACGGCACGCACATTCATCTGATTATAATTCATCTACATAACGGGACCCTAATTCATCTAAATAACGCGCATTCATCTGATGAGAGTTCGATCGACCTGACTTCTCGAACCAGGAACTGAGTACCTGAATAATTACTTAATAATCCAACTGACCAACTGTAAAGTTGTTAACCCTTAGTTTAGAACTGTGGTTCCCAAACTATGAGACGTGTCCTACTATTGGCACGCAATTAAGATGAAAAAAAAATTCAGTTTCATTCTATGGAATTTTTCGTCCATGGCAGTAGAGATTTATGCGACAACCAGGGATTAACGGCAATAAGATGTCAGACGAACAGCTGAACACAACTGAGGTAAGAGTTTAATTAAGCGGTCAGGGTCGTCAGAAGGGCTTCTCTCGGCCAAAATTTAGGCTGCAAGCACTTTTGATATTGGTAAGGTGAACTTTAAATTAAAGTTAAGTTAGCCGAGACAAATCTTCCCATATTTAGTTTGGAGAAAGCTTCATCGTTCATGTGATTTATCATATTATGTTATATGCATGCATGTGTCACATTTGAGTCTTTTCGTTCAAGCCTTTCTTCAATCGAGTTTGTGGATGAAAATATTTATTGCAAGTGAACTAAGTTTAGCAGTGATTGCTGTAATATAGCTTTTGTTACTGCACTCAAGTTTTAATACAATACCCACTGACATGGTTATTAAATTCACTTCTCATGTTGTCCATGAGCTGATTCTTATGAGTATCCGCAGGCATTAAAATATCAGCAAAATATCAGCTTTTCGAAGTCGCAAGCTTTGCAGTCGGCGAATTAAATACTTTATACCTGTTAATCTCATTGATTAAATCTTATTTCAAACATAATGCACTTTTAATAATGCTAAAATATCATACAAAATGAATCGTTCACAGAAATTATATATAAATTGATTAATTAAATATGGGGTTGTCCTGGCCCTTTCTGAATCGAATTGGCAGTTTTGGCTTGTCGTTATCTCACGATCCAGTTTCCGAGTAGAGTCTAGTCTCAGTTTAGTGAAGACGAGGTTCTGGTCGATGTTAGGCTCTAAGATGTACTGCGCCTTCATCGTCTGTTTGAGCACAATCTTATACTGACAGGTACCCTATGTGCATAGTAGGATTAGGACTAAAGTTATTGTTTAATAAATTGTTTACAATTCGTAACATTTTTCATTGAATGCCTTATCCACGTTTGGAAAACCCAAAAATGGAAAAAAAAAACATACACCAATTATTGAACATTTTTCATAGAGGAGAACCCATTTCTTGTAGTACAGAAAATAAGTCTTGTAACCTTATATTTGCTATCTTAACCTCTAGAAACTACGAAGAAAAATATATAGGCGGAAAAAATGAAGGCATCGATTTACCGAGAAAAAGTCGAGAAAATTTTGACTGAAATTAAGAGTCGAAGCTCAGTTTTAAAACTGCAAATCAATTGAACAACAACCTGGAGCATTTGCCTATAGTCTGACAGTACAAACATCAACTACGACGAAGTAAGAATATCGAATTATTGGCGCCCACACAGCATTATAAGCAGCCCCCCGCCTGCCCAGGAGTCCCGCAGCTAACCCTTGCCACGCATGACTATTAAAGCTGGCGGGTCGGGTCTAGGTCCCCGCCAGGGTTCGTCAATCCAGCGAAAGGTCTTTGCGTATCCGTAAGAGAGCCAGGTCGTTACCAGAAGGGCGTTTTGCCATCTCTGTTAGTCTGGACTCTCCACCCGAGCCACTCGGCCATGATTGCATCTGAGACCGCACAGCCTCGGGTCTCATTGAGACACGCAAGCCCCCCCCCCACGACAAGGGCGAGATGGCACGGGGGGGGATTTGGGTAAAGCCAAAATACAATTTAATTTCTTAAGCGAACATATTCGTTGAGAAACTCTCTATGGCCCTAAGCTAGAATCAATGAGGGAAACATATGATGATTTCCCTCATTGAGGGAAACATTCCCTCGTTCCCATCGTAGAACATATGATGAATACCTGACAACACGTAGCTCATGTTTTGAATGTTTTTTAGTTACAGAAATACGTGACAAACCATGAAAGGTAGAAAGGGAGATGATTTTACAGAAGCTTTAACTCTACTAGCAATGGTAGTAGACTTGTGACATTTAGGCGTTTCCCACCCTCTCACCAATACACTCTCAAAAAATATCATGATACAAATTCTACATAAATAAAAAAATATTAAATGAAATCCGACGCACTGTCCAAGGTGCATCACACAAAAGGTTCGTAACACAATCACGCAGTGAGCAACACTACAGGGACATGAACAAAATTGAATTCCAAAGTTGGCAGAATTGAATTTTACGCAGAGCTGGGAGCTGATGTGAGGGAGATGTGTTGTGGGGAACAACCTGTCGAGATGACACGTCCACATACCACCTATGTCAGTTATCGAGGCATCGAGGCGGTGGAAGGTAGGGTGCAAGCGAGGCTTAGTACGAGCTAGTAGTTCATTTGATAAAGCATATAAAAACTAATATTAGGTCTCTTATCCACTAAGCCTTAACAATATGATCTATGTATTTATAACTTAGATCAACGGGTATATTTATCTGAGTACATATCGATGGAAAGGCGGTTTGCCCCGCGGAAATGAGCATAACGCTTATGTGGTGAACCGCATTGCTTCCACGTTTCTAACATCAGGCATTATTACTTACTTCTCACATGAAGTTTTTAGCTCGTCCTCTATCTACGCAATCGACCATCAACTATCTTAAATATTATTCAACATACCCCTAATTGCACTCAATATACCCCCATGCAGACCGCTGACGATTCCATAAATGAATAAGTGTAACAAGAACTATAACAATTGTAATAACTATGATAACAATAATACTTGAAGGCAAAAATCTCAGATATTAGTCCAATTATTTTTCAGTGAAGTCCATACTGGAGAAGAAACTTTAGCATGCATATTTTATGAAATACTGCAATCGGTCTATTAAATCCCTACTTGAATATAATACCGAACCCAAAATTGTGAAAAAATCCTTTGCGGCAAACATATCAATTGATGTTTCGAAACAATGTTATTTCATTGGTTTCGTAATTTTTACCTGGAAATGTAATTTATAATTCTAATGTTAATATTTGAAATTAACCTTAAATAAGTTTGACGAGGGGTTTTTTGCCAAAGGTGACCCTAATCATATACTATATATCAAATTCCATTTTGCAATTGAATAAGCCTATTGGACTAATAAAAGATCATCACTATAACATTTTAAGGATATTTACTGGTATGCAACTCTTACGAAAAGAAGTATTACGTACTTCGGCTCCAAGCTACTACAAAACATTCGAATTTTGAAGTAAACTATGTCGGAGACTACAGTATCTATGACACGCTGATCAATTGTAAATTCGAGCATTCAAGTAAGCACGTCAATGAGATGTGGAGACTAATAGTCATTCAGCAAATGATTATTAGTCTCCACATATCATTACATCTCAGATTATACGATTATATTTTCATATGAAACCCTATAAAATTAGCAAGAATATTGAAGGTGAAATTTTCAACATGAAGCTATGAAAAATATTGAACCAAGTGGAACGCAAAGGTTGGATCCTTTAATCAGAAAAACTGACATGAAAAGAAAAATTTCTTTCATCAAAACATTAGCAATTGTACCAGATGGAAAACTTAAATATTCATACATTATGCTGCAAAATGGGTTTAATTTTTGGTTTAGGTTTCATTTGAAAGTACCCTCACACAATTTTGAAACCAATAAGTGAATCATAAAACAATCAACAAAGGATTATACTAATAGATCCTTTAATCATGTAGGAGATAGAATTGGTTTGCAATTAAAGTTCTGTATCAATATGAATGGGTAACATGTATTGTTCCAGTATACCATTATCACTTCAATGACAACACTTCAATGACAAAAATGTTCTCAGAATTCCCCCGCAGTTGAACCACTAAACCAATCATGCTTAGTTAACTTGACTTTTTTCACAAATCCAGAACCGACACAAGCGACATGAGAAGCTCTCTCAAGAAGATGACACAAGATAAGGTATTTATTATAATATATTTACTAACAAGTTCGTGTGGATACGTGATCCAGAGTATTGAGAATACTACAAGATAAGGATGCATAACGTGCAAGAGTGATAGAATTCTGGACGTACGTACTTAATATGAGGAAAAAGTGAACTCTTATCTAGAGGCACTCCTTAGATAGGCAAGCGAGAAGCTTAAACGAAGAATGCTATCGCATCGAACGACTCATAATGGAATCAATTTCAACTTCTACAAAACCCATACATGCTACAGCATTTGGATCCGCTATTTGTACATAATGAAGCAGCAGTGTTCAAATCCACCTCAAGCCCGATGCCGAGTAGCAGACAGCAGCATATAGCGCCCTCGATCAGCGTTTGAAGTAGTAGCGTATCTAGGTCTTGTAAGAAATGATGGCCTTAATAAAATACACGAAGTCTAAAAGCTAAGAAGGAAGAAGCCTTAAATGATTGTCAAAGAAAAAGGCAGAAACCTAGCTAAAGGACACACTAATGGACACCGACGAAATTTTATTGTACTTTTCTTAATGACATGCACACAGGTCTTGGAATAGCACCTGACGCTAAATTTACACAAGCAACAAAAAGGCTTCTTTAACAAAAATTAATACTTCATCGTTCACAAGAATAGGGTTCCTCCGAAGACATCAAAGATTTCCAGTTCATTTTATGCAAAAAATTTGCTGTGAAATAAACATTATCTTACATACAAAGTGGTGCTGTTCAAACGACTAAGACAGTTGCTTTGGCATCAGTATTAAAATTTCTCCTGATTGAAATCCGCCTTCAGACAAAACCAACCAAATGTTCCTCTAATCTCATCGCAATATAATCACTGATTGGCCTACAATACTGATAATCTAACCTCGAGAGCAAGTTTCTCTAGCGTTGGTGAACAAGCGTATGTGCCACAGGGTTGTGGTCTTGGAGCTGATACGTAAATGTAACAACAAAATATCGAGCACCAAGTTAATGCGCGATAAATAATGAGTGACATGAAATTTAAGCAGACTTCTAATAAAAAAAGCGTAGGTTATAATCAGTTCCATTTATATAGACGCTTCGTTTCTGTCAGTAGCGACTAGTAGGAAATTACGTGAAAATTCGAGTTTGTGACGTGAAACAAATCAAATCTAGTCTTGAAAAATCAGATCGACTATCACATCGGGATCTAAACTTACGTTATTCAAGGTAATACAGAAATAATGGATACAGGGAATGAGTCCCGGCATAATGAAAAATGTATGCTATCAACAACAACAAAAAAAACTTTAGCACCATCTTTACCTTTTGCATTTTTGAGCATTTTTGAAAATGAAGTCGTAAACAAACTAGATTTCTAATCAGTTGAATGGACGAAATTCCGGAATCACACACAAGAGAAATGGACTTCAGAATATTTGTACTCGCTAATCCTAAGGCAATAAAATTAAGAGGCATTTTGAAGCTATATCGGTACCTTCCTTAACGAGGATGGCTGAGTTCCAGACTCTCATGAGCGTAGAAACGGAGAATAACATGACGCCAACTTGCATGCACTTGGTCATGATGAGGCCCATCTCTTTTGTGTTCAAACCACCAAAGAATCACAAAATTGATTCCAAAGTTATCTTACGCGTTTGCTCGTTAGATGAAGCATTTCAGTTTTTATCACGAACACAAAGAATTTAATGTAAAATTCCTTCACTATAGGTTAGGGTTCTGACACGTTGCAAATATATTTCTCTTCTAGTATCAGATTGTAAGTTAACTGCGGGCAAAAATATTGAATAGATATAACCATTAAAAGTTTTATTATTCCTTGTGAAGGCTGTAGAATGTAGACGATGGTGGAACTGTCTTCTGGAGCTTCCGTGTTACATTGTACCTACAGGAAATTATGAATGGTTATGGAGATAATATATGATATTGATCAATGTGGATCGTTATGCCAACAGCGAGAGGGGTACAAGGTATGCCGACCTGAAATTCATTTTTTTTTTCATTCCACAATTGTCACAACAAGAAGAAGATAGAAATTTTTCAAATATTGTTAATTTCCATCGCCAAATATATAAAAAAAAACATTTGCTCCAAAGCGCCGTCTCAGGAGGGGCAAGATGTATGAAAAGTTAACCTCGTCGAGTAATACCGGAGCTGAAGCTCTTCAGGGGCGTCATTCATACGATCAAACTGAGGAAAGAGAGTGCAAGATAAAACATAATAAGATTGAAGAAATAAATAATATATGAATTCGATGTTTGTCATTTTACAGCCAATGATTTTGAGATCCATCAATAATGTTGTTGCCGGCAGACATTAATTTTACCTCTATGTAATTATTCAGTCATTTTTTTATTCCAATTTGCAATCTCAAATCTAAAACCGCCTTAGTGTTTCAAGTCTTTAATCGTTTGATACATTACGTTTCAAACCAAAAATGGCCCACAACTATTCAAATAATCTAGCATATAAATAACAGATCGAAGGATTTTGAAAGCATTTAATTTATTTCTCATAACTCGAATAACATGTACGTAAACGAAGAGAATACTTAGCAATGAAAAATTCAGTCCAATTTTTAATCTCACAACCATACAAGCTCGGTGAGAACGTAAATTTTAATTCACGAGCCAATTTAAACATGGCGGTACTGGAGGTACAAGCACACAGTTCACCATGGACCAGGGCTCGAATTGATGATAGGAACATGCGGTTTTCAAGCAAATTTTGTTAGGACATTAACACAAATACCGCTGATTGTGCAACAAACTGCACAGTAGATATGAACACCACTGATCGTAATGATAGTCGATACAAAATCAAAAGCATATCATTGAATTTTTTTTCAAATAATACCGATCAGTGTTTTTTCAATAACTACACAGGGTTAATTCACTAAAAATAACACACCCACTAACAATAACGCTCATGGTTAGAAAACAAACAATAACGCGCACTGTGAGGCCAAAAAGAACAACGCACATAATTAGACATCAGCAGAAACGTACAAATTTTTACGCAATAAAGTATTAGACGATTAGAGTAAAGAACGCACATGATAAGCGTACAAACGGTAACACTACGCCACACATCTGAAGGTCACGTAACAAGCTTGGCGAGGTGCGGGCGGGCAGAGAGCGGCTGGTGCTTGTTAGGCTCAGCGTCCAGGGGCTGGTGGGCACTCGTCGATCTCGGGCGGAGTTGGTAAGCGTTAGTAGACTTGTGAGGAAACACACTCGAGGATCGTGAGTTAAATTTAGACTGAATGGTAGGAGACGAACACAGACTACGGACAGAAGGAAGAACATATCTACTTGGTCTTGTTGCATGAAGAGGAGCGGTGTCAGAGTCACCAAAGTTCATATCAATCGTACAGTTACGGTCAACTTGGTTTGCGACCGGGTCAGGATGTACACTCGCCGACCCGACGGCCACCCTATAGCTGCCGTAACTGTTGCCGTTGGCAGTGAAGTGGCGTGCTGGGCGAGGAGTGCCTGGCGTATCCGCTGATCGTCTACGGCCAACCGTGACACCACAGCAAACGGGTAGGACCATCCGGCCACCTCTGTTGCGGCGCCGCTCGTCTGGAGAAGTTACAACGAGGGAGGGTTGATCTGCGGCCACTGTTGCTGCGGCATGAAGCCCTACGCCATTTTGACTAAACTTTCGAATGTGTGACTTTTGTACATGACCTTTAGAGGAAGAGGATTTGGGACTCGGTGGTAACAAGGCCGTCTGCACTGACATGTTTGCTTCTTCTCGAGTCCGTGATATTTGGCCGCCTTGAGGAAGGCCGCGTATGGGCGGATGGACATTGTCCTGGAAGAGGCCAGGTTGGTTGCCAGGAGGAGAGTAGCGCGCAACCACCACAACCCTGCTTCCCTCGCCACGTGCCACGCCAACACCCAAGTCTCGAGAGGACGACCATAGCAGTTGAGAGAACTCACCTGCAAGAGAAGTGGCATAAATTTTTCTTATCAGAGAGGCCAAATGTTACTATACGAATATTCTCGGGCCTAAATTGCGCCCACATGAAAAATACAAAAGAACCATGCCAATCAGCGTTTCTGGATAGTCTTTTTTTTTTTAAATCCACTATAGAGGTTTTTTTGGCGTTGGCCGGTTCAAAGTTATAATGATGGTACTTTCTTAGTTAATTTTAAAAAGTGCGAAAAAAATTTGAGGAAATTTTTCAGCCATTTAGTAACATCTTTCTTAATTAACTACTTTACATAAGTGAGAGCGCAATATGCACTTTCAGACGAAAGTTTAGGCTTTTATGCCTTCTTAGAATGAACACTAGAAGCTTGGAATGAACGCTAGTGGAACGATTGTTGTTCCTCAGTAGGTTCTGAAGCAAATAATTCTACAGCCTTACTTTGATTGAAAGTTGCTTTTTTTTAAATTCCCAACGATTGGATGCTAAAAAATTCTCTATCACCTATCCCTGAGGGGCTTCAATATTTTAGAGGATTTTTTTTTAGCATTGGTGGCTTTAACGATTTCATGATGTCTTTACCCGTTCAAATATGGTGAGTCCCTGTATACCAGTATGTACCTTTTCAAAGACCGTTATAGGTGGCTTACTCAGATACTTATAACTCATATAATATATAACTGACTGAGATACTAACTCAGTCAGTATATAACTGACTCAGAATACTTATAATTCCAGAATAGCTTCACTTAATCTAAAAAAACGTTCCTCTATGATGACATACCTGTTTTGTGGCAGCCTGAAGCTACTCATAATGGCATCACCCATTTATATATAGCGGTCTTACCTTCTTCATGATGGCATTACCTATTCTAAGGTTGCCTTGCCTACTTAACAATGACATTACACATTTCCGATTTTAGGGCGGCCTTATCTTCTCCATGATGGCACTACCTATTTTGTAGTGGCCCTTCCTACCTCATGATGGCATTACCCATTTTTTGGTTGCGTTACCTATTTCATGTCAGAATTACTGAAGTACAATAGATGGCTGTAAATACGTCATGATTGCATTTCCTAATCCGCAACAATAGTATGAACGCTACGATAGTTTAATCAACTCGCGATAATATTACCTACGCTGCGATGGCGTTACCTAGTTTGTGATATAACATTAACTTCTCCACCATGGCATTACCAAATCTAAGATGGCCATACTACACCACAATGGCACTACCAACTCCAATATGGCCATACGTCGCCATGGTTCCACCTTGTCGAAGACAGATTTGATTCGCTTATCTATGGTTCATCAATATGGCGAAGATATTGACGTCTGATCCCTCCCTTGTCCACGAGACCCTTGATCCATTTGTTGATGATTGTAGAATATTTTCAAAGTAGCGCTACCATCATGCAAGGGTCCTGCTTACCGTTAGACTATCAACTTATTTCCAGAAACTTTACTCGTACCGGCATGCGCGAGGTCAGCTGAGCTGGGACATTTGTAGTTGTATGTGCGGCCAGTCTCGTACCACGCCCGCACCGCGCCTCCTCCTGATCACCAAATTGCCAAAAATATTATAAGTGTTGCGGAAAGAATTATAATTAATAAAATAAATAGTCAAAATATAAGAAATTGTACACGCCAAGGAATACTGATTGTTTAGATTAACAGACTTGTCATCAAAACATTTCAATTGACCGCCTTTTCATGCATCAAAAACGTCAAAATATCAACACAATCGCCGGACCATCGTTGAGTTGCTCATAATTAGGAAAGTAATGTAAAATAATTATTGAAACGTGACACGTCAAATAGATTGATTGATTGAAAAACTCTTCCACATTAATGCAGATATTTAATATTCCGTTTACTAAGAAACTCAGAAGATCAGGCTACAATCGATGGATTAAGAGAAGCTCGATGAGCAAAAAACGACACTCCAATGATTAGACACGAGAAAATGTTTCATAAGGTAACAGTATGCATATTAATTGACATTAAAACACGAATTTGCTTAAAATATATTAGCTGATTTCATGAGTAGGAGAGTAGGGCACCGACCGCTGATGCCCTCGGTGGTGGTGCAGGTCAGGATACACTCGCCCCTGCCGTTCTTGCAGCTGTACTCGAGCACCTGCTTATGCGCCAGGCGATTGGCCCACTGCTGAGCCTCCTCACACAACTGCAACAGCATTCACTTTAGCACGTCTCTTACGGTAAGCTGGCAGAACTGCAATAACCCTTAACACTAGCACCTCTCCTACGATAAACTGGCACAACTGCAACAACTCTAACATTAGCTCGTCTCTTACGGCAAACTGGCACAACTGCAACAACACTAACATTAACACGTCTCTTACGGCAAACTGGCACAACTGCAACAACACTAACATTAGCACGTCTCTTACGGCTGTCTCTTATACACATCTAGATGTGTATAAGAGACAGCTTTAGCACGTCTCTTACGGCAAACTGGCACAACTGCAACAACCCTAACATTAGCACGTCTCTTACGACAAACATCTTTTTTACTTCTGAAAAAAAAATTAGAAGAGATTAATGTTGGGAATGCAATACAAAATTTATGTATTAGGAAAACATTTGTTAAACTCCTAATAACCAGTGATGAATAAATCACTTCGACTCTAATAAACAAGAAATGTCCCGCAAATAGTGAACATTTTCGCAGGATGTAAACATAAACGGATTTAGCTGCGAGTTCAATGAACTTCATGAATTGTCGAAAAAACGTCGAAATGAACGACACTCTGAATGACATTTTATAAGAATTTTTCTATCTTTTTATTTGTTTAGCAGTAATGTTTAGAAAGTTTAGTTTCTAGTCATTAAAAATTGTTTGAAGTCATTCTTTCAAAGCCATTTAAATAAACTTGCTGCCTCTTAATTAATTTTCTGCAGTCATTAATTTAAATTTCTTTAAAAGAAAGCAAACGAACTAGACAATTGATACGCAATTGTTCTAGTAAAAGTTTTGATATTTTTTTAAAACGAAACAAACATTGAACATTGGTTCATTACTTTGGTAGAAATTTTGCATAACTGCAGTTATTCCACCTTTATGAGCTTTAGAACCAACCAGTTTTCAATTTACCGCAAATGTTAATCAAACTAAACGTATTTCAACTCGAATCTATTTCAGTAACGCACGAAAATGGAGGAACGACGCTGGCTGGGCAAGCCCAGGCAGGGGACTTCAGAATGGAAAAATTGATAATTTATCGGTATCGTATTCTTACGAGCAGGCAAAGGAACAGATTTTATAATCCATATGTGCACGTAAATCAGAAAAATTACGAAACACTTGCGACATCTTTTTTATGGGAACTCTGTTCCAGTCCACAGGCAAATAAAATACGGCTCTAAAATTTGCTTAAAAGAATATTCGCTGCCCCAGTGAGAATTCCTATTTAACCAACGATCAAGAACAAAAGAAAAAATGAAGGAAAACTCGTCAGTCATGCAAATCTTTTGCCGGGTCGTGCCCCATGGAACCCTGTAAAAATTGGAGCAGGTAAAGAAATATCGCGATAAATCAGAGGACTTTTGCTGCAACTTCTGGGGGAAAAACGCGACATTCGAGACGGTGATTACAGGACGTAAGAACAGACAACGAATAACGAACGCATTAGTACAATTTTTAAGTAAAAGTTTCATTAACAAATAGTATTCCGCGCCTTTTTCTTTGAACAAAGCAAATGATAAAAAACTAGAAATGGAAGACATAAAATTCATACTCCAACTTGGATAACAAATAAAATACCCGTGGAAAAAACTGTTTAAAATCATTAGGTCTAGGACTAAAGGCCTATTCAATAAAATAAGGTCTTACAACTTACAGTTAAATAAGGCATCCTTGTAGGGATTTAGCTATGGACATTTAGTAAGTTAGGCTTGAAGAAGAATAATCTCATATGTTTCTGTTGGTAATTGTAATTTCAATATTCGTCCTCATTATAATCTATGCCCTAATATTGAAGTGCTTCATTGCAACATGTTTATGATTTCCATATATATATATAGAAACCTGTCATTTACATTCAGTAATTGGAGTACACAAAGTCAATGTTAACAGCCAAATTTTCTCGTTTCAGCAGATCTACAGTATTTCATAATTTTTACGAAATGAAATGAAATTCATGTATCATCGAAGTTCAGCACTAAATTTAAACAACAATGATGGAAGCTTTTATAAAATATGGGTGGACTATTTAAAATATACTCAAGATCAGCATGAGCTCGATCTAAAAAATGGAATTCACGAAACAGGGAAATTAGACAACGTTTCAAAAAAGTGCTGGTTTCTTTCAGAATTCACAGTTTTTTCTTTCAATAATGATCATATTCTTTGTCCTCATGCGCCTTAGGAAAACAAATGTAGCGTGCAATGTCCCTGGGCCGACGACATTAAAATGTTATTCGCCGTTGTAAATTTTCTTCCGCAATATCTTAGAGAAAAAATTTCAAGATATTCACGTTGCTAAACGTAATCTGTCGCTTTACATGTAAAAAAAGTCTCCAATATAGCAGCAAATTTATTCATGTGTTGGCAGCGATGCTGAACTAGCTTAGGTATTGGGTGCTTCAGGGGTTAGAGAAAAATTATAAATCCTAATTCTGGGCAAAGTTCTACGAGTTATTCGGAAATATGCATTTCTTAAAGAATAAACATCGTCAAAGAAATTTGTGACCTAGACTCCACTAGTCTTTGACAGTCTTCACAATGTCGTCTTTTGACGCAGTCTCCTCATGTTGTCTTTTGACGCAGTCTCCCCTTATCGTATTTTGACGCAATAACCCAGTTGGTAATTATTGCATAACCCATGGGCAATTACTGCACAACCCAGTTGGTAATTATTGCATAACCCAGGGGGGCAATTACTGCACAACCAGTTGGTAATTATTGCATAACCCAGGGGGGCAATTACTGCACAACCCCTGTCTCTTATACACATCTAGATGTGTATAAGAGACAGTTATAATGTTGCGGGACCAGACCTGCGGGACACGTTACGATCAGCAGGTGGTGTGTTGCTAACGCAGGAACATTATAATGTTGCGGGACCAGACCTGCGGGACACGCTACGATCAGCAAGCGGTGTGTTGCTAACGCAGGAACGCAGGAAGTATTTCTTCAATAAATGAACAACGTCCATTCATTTCACGAAAAATAGAGCAAAAATTAGTCGCATAATATAAGAAATATTAAAGGTATCGGACTGAATCAATTTATCAATAAAATAAGCACTATAGAAGAGGCAGCTCCCAAATAGTCACAAGTAAAAAAGCTGGTAGATTAAGCAAGAAAAATGAGAGACTTTGCATTTAATTTTAATAACTTCATCAATTAATCTGAACTTTGTCAGTCAATCTCAATTTCGACCTAATCTCAAAAAATTCATTAGTAAAATAAAAAAAGCATCGTTTAAAGAATTCTTTGAATATTTTCTAAATTTCAATAATTCTTCTACAATCGGAACACCAATATGGTAGATTGGAGTACCTTTGATCCAAGAAAACAGAACTATCTAAGAAAATACAAATGAGTCTGATCGAGACGACGTAAACACCAGAAAACTGCCTGTCCCCAGCCTCGACCATAAAGCCATTCAGGAGAACTGATGAAAAAGACATCGGCTTGGGCAGCCTGCAGGAGTTCGGGAACTGCTTCTCCAAACTCGCCGCTAGAGAGAAATAGGCTTAAAAATAGATCAACTTTCAAATGTCGCCGTCAACTAAACAGTAGGAGCATTTTCAAGACTATCGATTTACTTTTCTTCTCCGAGTGAATATCTTGCACTCGTCAAAATAAGTTTCTCATGTTTTTTTTCCAAATTGCTTTTTGTGGAAACCAAAAAAGGTACTGCGATTCAATCTGAATCTTCAAATCGTCGGTATCACTGACATCAAAGTCAATTTTTCCCTAAAAATGTTTACCTTCCGAGAATGTACCTCATATACAACGGCAAAAACAAATAAAAATGCCCCCGAAAATCTGGCGGATAATATATTTCTATCTTTGTGCATAAAAATAAAAAATAAATCTGAATTTTATTATTATCATTATAATGATTATTATTATTAGGCAATATTATAGCCAAAAGCATTAATGAAGACGGTGAGCATCATTATTCTTCGAACTAGATCGAACCTATTTCGAGCGAAAAGAATGCACTGAAACCGGGTACCTTTCATAACGATTTGTGAATTCCGAACACAAAAACCGTGTTTTGCAGTTTTCCTAAACGTTTGCTGTTGTTGCCGAAGCCCTACGATCTTACCTGCAGTGAATATAAAACCTTTTGGAAATAATTATGTTTGAAATTTTTATAGTGTTTATCTCACTTTATATACCACGTTTCCGTTCCTCGTCACCAGTAGGGGCGAACCACACATACTTGTATATCTAATTAATTGTGTCTAACTCAAAAATTTTTATTTATTCATCGAAACCGGGAATAGATCCCAAATCCGAAATATTCGATAAATGTCGGTGAGTTGAAGTCGATAAATGTCAATGAAAGTCATTTAAAGAGAACGACATTTTAATTTTCCATGTCCGAACTTTTTGGGATTCGCAGCTTGATTTTAATCCGCGCATGCAGTATCATCAATTTTTCATTCAATCAAGTTTTGAGACATTTTTGCACGCAGAATTTGCAGTCTTCTATAGTGTAGGAGTTCACAATTTATTTTATAGACAACCCAATTCGCATTTACGGCAGCGCGTCGATGCAAAATTTAAAGCTATGAAAAGTATCTCATACAAAAAATTTGGGGACGAGTCAATTCTCTGTTTCTTGTACATCCATAATTCTTACATCAGATATAAAAGAAGATTTGATCATTTAACATTTCCAATAGGAGAGAAAAGCTTTGTTTCTTGTGAAAAATTGCCTGTCTCTCACAGAGTCGAGTTATTATAAGATGCACAATTAGCTGCAAATTGTGTTTTTTCTTTACTTATCGTAAAAGCAACTGCAAGACTGCAACATGATTATGTCGTAAAAAACATAGGCTTGATTCCCGAATTTCTGCAAAAGATAAAAAATAATATGAAGGACTCTCCTATTAGACAAAATAGAGTAACTGCATTTTTATGATTTTAACTGATTCGATCCAATGAAAATTCGATAGTATTCCCACTAGTAGCTCATATATAAC